TATATATATATATATATATATGTACTAAAACGACTCTGAGGATTCGAAAAATTCTGCATCGGGACAGCATCTGTTCGATGAGATATCGTTGTATTGTGTACAAGATATGTGTGTGGCCTTTGATATCAAAAGAATATTTTTCTTCACTAAAAGCATTCGGTTTTAACTAATAGTTTAGTTTTTTATAGGCCAAATAGGCTCGCCTCAGCTCTCACTCACCAAATACGGCTTGTTTAGGGCAGCTCGTCTGCAACGCTATTTGTAAAATATCAGTCGTTTGTGATATATAGCAACGTGCTTTATTTTTAATTGAGTCGATAACAACTGGTGTTTTCTCTTTTTGTGTTTCACAGACTCGTATTTCAATGAACGAGCGTCTGCACACGCGGCTGTTTGACCATCTAATGGCTGGAATCGAAGATATCACTGGCATGTTTATGGGCAACTACAAACTGCGAGACAAGTTCAAGCACTTCAATAATCGATGGATCAGGTAAACGGAACATAACAGTGACGCGACCCTCAACTGTTCCGTAGTATTCAAAGAGAGTCTCAGGCACAAACATCATTCGAAACTAAGTTCAAAGTACACATAAAAACGGAATAAAAATCTTTCTCGATGAGCAGCAACTTTGAAGTGGCATTACTTACTCAGCAGACATATTATTTGTCTATTGAAGAAAACCGAAACGGCCCTGAACCTGCATCAGGTTTCGAACGTAATTATGAACAGATCGATTCGATTTATTAGAGTCGCAATCCATACTTACTGCTCGCTTGAGGGGTTGGATGACGTTACGAGCGGGGGCTCGCTGTGCAGGGAGAAGAATTCTCGAATAGAATATTGCATAGAAGTCTTTTACGTTTAGCCCACCACGGCGCGCTTATTGTTTAGAAGAATAGGCGACGATTAAGGGCGAGTGCTATCGAACAGATATAACAGATGCTATTGCTTATCGTAGACCTATCCTGCTAAATGACGATCGTGTACGGGAACCTAAGATCCTCGAGACCTGCTCAAAACTCACCATGGCAGACGCGGTTAGTACATATGCTTACCCTCTTTCGCTCTATGTATATATTTGTGTGTAAAATTCTAGGTTACTCCCTCTTCTACTTAATCTCACCTAATGAGATCTCTAGTAACTGACAGCTTCAATAGTAGTGAGCCTCCGCTTGTTTGCGACGCGTCACTTGAATTGCTGAGCGGTAATAGAGGAAAGGTCCACACGGTAAAACCGTTGATGTCTAAACCTGTGATATGTTGATGCTGTACGCCTAATATTTGATACGTTATTTCTTGCCATTGAATTTAGCGCTACTCTCATGTAGTGTACTGGCACCATTAGGTGCGGTAATTGTGATAAGAAAAATCTAAACAACGGCGAAGCACCAAACGAATTCGGTTAGAGACAGCAGACCTTCAGTTAGAGCTAGCCATCAGGGCAAGGACATGCCTTCGCCAAGCTCCATGTTAAATATATATGGCTGTATACGTTTATTTTACACACGATTAGTATGAGGTTTTGCATCCTGGACGGTACACGTTCAACATTTGACGATGTCTATTACAGGTGAACATTGTCAAAAAAAACAATTCGATGCTCAACACTTTAGCGATGTCGAAGGAAAATGGTATGTCTTTATCAAGTATCGTCCGTACCTATACACAGAGCAATCTAAATGCCTCAGGATCCTTCGGGTGAGTCATTCTCTGAGCGAAATACCGATAGTGATTTGAATGGTCAGTGGCACTATTTCTTAACATTTATACATTGTTACTGTGCTACAATATGAACATATCATACTATAGTGGTACAACTTTCCAAGTTGGCACTCGCTGCTCAATAGGCTAATCGAAGCTTTAAACAGGCCTAAAGGGGTAGACCAAAAGTTTGAAGAATTCGCGTATAGTATACAAAACTAATATTATGGTAATGGTCTGTGTCTTTGGTGGCGTACAGCGGTCCGGGTCTACCTCGGAACGATTCTTTCGGAGGAATTCCTGTAGGAGACCGAGCTACTGATCTGAATTATGATATGAACGAATTGCATTGGTCGCCCAGCGGGAAGGTACGGCTGGTGAAAAGGCTCGTTTAAACTTCACTCTGATAAATATATATATATTTGAAAGTTGAAAGTTCGCAATATATTGACGTTTAGGGACTCGAAATAAACGAAATATAGCGCTAATTAGGCAAGTAAATAAATAATTAAAATTCAGCAACAATACATGTGTTGAATTACATTGCAAATTCATATAAAAAAGCACGACTGAAGGTAGTGGTTGCATGGTTACCTCGACTTAATGAAAGCAACTTTTTACAATAATTACAGTTGTTGTAGTGAGGGCTAGCTATAGCATTGAGGTAAGTGTACGAGCTGGAGGAACACGCATGAGGCCTGCGTGGATCTACGAGGTCGAATTCGGTCACCAGAGTGTTTCCGCCATAGTGTCCAAAAAGTTCTAGAGCCATCGAAAGCTGTAAAAAATGCTATTGTAAAAAATATTTTTTAACTAAATACTCTTTCCACATCTCGGGTTCTTGATTTACAGGATATTCAGGAAGCAGAACTTCATCATGTTTTGAAGGATGCGCTTGCCAAGCCTAAGGTGAGTTTTTATCCCGTGTTTATCCAGTCTGTATAATTGTATTAATATAAATAGAACAAACTATTTTGATTAAATCTTCTAGTGGAAGCAAGCTTTTGATGCTATACCGAGGATGAAACTCCGAAGATTAGTTCACAAAGTAGTAATAGCCAAAAACGTAAAAAAAGAAATAAAGAATTTTAGGGCATGATATTAGCACATATGGGCAGTAGGTCATCTAGCTTTGGGGCTTTCAAGTCCTATAGACAGGCTCGCTTGTATATTAACGAATTGTTATCAACAACAACTAGAAAAACGAACTTACAGTACATCAGCAACTGACAAGCTGCATGATTGCAAGCATTGCCATAGAAGGCCTGTTGATAGTACCTACCGATATGAAACCCACATTTATCGTTCGTGGCCAATATCGATTTACACACACCACCGATTGCATCTCTATTCTACGGCTAAGGCCTCGCTAGCGTACCCTTGAAATGGACTTCGCGAAAGTCAGAACCAATGCGAGCCCGTTGAAATGCCACATGGTTAGTTTTACCATTGAATATTAAGTTCAATGTAATTACTTTGGACCTGGAACTCTATGGAAAAACATCCGAATGTGGACTGCGTTTTCAGCGCAGGATACGTCAGTAAGCCACCAGCGCTAAGGATGTCTGTCCTAGAAATTAGTAGGCACAAATTAACTGCGTGGCTGAAACGCACAATGAATTGCTCTGAATATAGCAAACAAATATGTACGGACTTGAATACCTGTAGTGGTAATTAAATGCCATTTTTCAATAAAAATGACAACAAATCAACGTTAGTAATTACATTAATAAATAATAAACAAAAGTAAGGAAAAGCTAACTTACCTACTATTTGGGCAACGGACCTATATAGATTAGTTTAAGTTAATTAAGCGTTACTGCAACATGTCAAAACTAGGAAAAACATGTGTTATTTCTTTCGATAATTGGAAAACACAGCCAATTCGGGAGAATAGCTGTAGGTTTTTCAATGCGTCAAACAACCGAACGCATCGAAAATTTGCTAAATGTTAATCCTCGTCGAAGATGCTACGTAAGGCTGCAAAGGTCTTATTTTGCACCTAGCGACTGAGCCGGTAAAAAACATGTATATATGGAAATGAGTGGCTGTATGATTCAGCCACATTACCTGTATGGTAAGGTGTGTGCTCTTTAAACCATTGTCCATAAGCTACCTATGGCATCACTGCAGTGACAATTTACACTGTGAAAGGATTGTTTACATATTTAGTACCATCAAATTATTTACAAGCATATATTATGCAAGCATAGGCGCAGCCACCACTTGTCAGCGGTCTGCTGGTTCTCATGGCCAACGTCGGACAAAAACGGGTCTTGCTGGATAATCACAGCTTAAAAGTATCCAATTCAAGCCCGCATAATTTAGCAGAGTATCTAAATCGAATGGTAAAAGACATGGCACGAAAACTAACGAACGTTCTTCTACTACCGTGATATCTAGCGTGACATTCTGCAGTCTTTCCTTTCAACAGACTACCTAAAGTTATTTAAACTTATGTTGCTCATATATGTCGTCTTCCTGATTCTAGTCAGCCAGGTTCGCCTAACAGCATGCTGGTCGCCTAGTAAAACTGTTAAAGACCTTCAACAACGTAACATGCTGTCTTAACTACTGCAACTATAAATCTCCGTATTAGATAATTATATTTGACGGAGGGACGTGTGAGATGGGCATCCGACAAGATACAGGATGACTGTACTGCAGTTTGAGTTAATTTATTTAGGCTGAGCGACCACGTTTGTGACTGGCGATGTAGATATCCCAATAAACGCCGACCGGCTTCATGCGAAGCACTGTTGCAAATAAGGAGGAACGTACAATGTGATACTGATGTACACTGGGGAGGTTTCATCGGGGGGAAATGTACTATTCAATGGGAACTAAGCCTTTATGCGGTCCATAGAACTTCGCCCTCAGATGACAGCTGATTATACCGTGGTTAGGCATGCTTGTATTAGTTAATGGTAAACGTTTGTCCCTGGGGAGTTCAATAGGCTTCATCATCTCAATTGCCACATTGTCTGCGAGAGAATAGCAAAACTCGTAATCAGAGCCCCCCCACCCACAATAACAGATAAAGACTGCGCGATGGAAACTGCTTCATCTGCTAAGCGGACACACGTATCTGTCGAACAAAGGATGGGTATTGGTGTCTGCCTTCGCCCAACAGGGGTGGTACGTAAACGGTTATTGATTGCTTTGAACACGACATGTTAACAGACATCGTTAACAGACCTGTTTATCATCTTCTAATTCGATCAAGCTTCACTTCGAAAGAGACGGTAGCTCCAAAAGCAGACCTTACCTGCGTGTCGCTTAGGTATTTAATAAAAATATTCCTGCGGAGACGTTGTATAAATAAAAAAAAATCTCAATTTTTAGTAACACCATATGCAAGTTTGGTGACTTTCGCATTTGTAAACCTTGCTTGAGTAGTCGTTCCGGTACGATACACGGACCAGGCACATATGTGCTTCCAGCGTCCTAAAAAGCTTACCGCAGCAGCTACAGCCGTTACTTTTGCTATAGCGGACGTCGCCTCTCGGATTGAAACCGATGCCTAAGCGTTATTGATATTTACCATGTATCATCATTACGACTATCGAGAAAAACGCGAGCCAACGTTCGGCGACAGACAACAGACGAGAGGGGGGAAGGGAAGCAAATTTCGTTCGATAGATCTTTAGCCCCACTTTAGACTTAACTTTTTGAAGGTTACCAGAAGATCTAACTGGCGGCGATTCAACTGTCTACGAACTGGTACTCTTCAACTTCTGGAAAGGGTTGATCGGTCATATCTTTCCATATCTATGCTCCGTGTATGCGGCTTCGTGTATATCTGGAGCATTGGCAATTCAATCGCAGAACGGTCGTATAGTTATGCTTATCCGAAACGTAACTTAGTTCTCGAACGTATTTTGAGTAGTATGAAAGACAGGCCCTGGCCTGCTTGTAATGAAGTGCTAGCAGCATGAGATGAAGAACATTACTACCAAGAAGTACTAGAAGACAATAGTTGTTGCTGTTATTATTATTTTTTTAATGCTTGTTCTGCATCACCAACGTTCTATTAGGATACAGCGCGTGACCTATATAACCTTACTGTACCTGATCTGTCTCTGTAAGCACACGTCTTTCCCGCATATCGAAGCCTTAGATTTTCACGTTCAGCTTTTCGAAGACGAACCGGTGTCTACCGATTATTAACGAAAATTTGTTTAAACTGCCCACATTCATATGTGCATGATAGATTAACAATTATCAATTTAAGATACAAACAACGTTCACAAACGTGTCAAGTTGGCGGGCGCACTCTGTTTATTGAGTCGTCGCCTCACGATCCTACCGAAAGAAAGAAAGGAAAAAAACAACAGTTCCTTTATTAGAGTGTTGTTGCATATTTGGACTACGAAAAAACCAAACCTCTAACATATCAGTGTGAGATGTTTTCTATAGTGGCAAGGACGCGGCAATAGTTTCGACAGTTAAGGTGCATGTTCCTTTTTTAAACTAATTTATAATATACTATTTAATAAAGCATTGGGTGAGAGATCTATAGATGTCCTTGCATACCTATAATTACATATCGGTAATAGTTTTCGTTGTAAACTCTGTGTGCATATTAAGTGGCATACTATTTTGATGAATTTACAAATGCTCAAAGGCAAATAACTTCGAGTATCCTGTAGGCGTTTTCTGCTTCCAGGACAATGCTGCAGCTCCTTTTGATAGTTAGTCGTTTATCGTTTCCGAGTGATGCTAAAATATGTAGTTTCGTTTGTGATGAATGGAACATTTAATGGCAGACGTATCTTATTAACGTTTCCTATCCTCCAACATTTGTACTGACCGTTCATCGCTAAACGCAACGTTGAATTCATCAATGCCATATATGCCGATTCATAATCCCATCAATAAGTGTTAATAGGGTTTGTAGGATTTATAAACTGGCTGCTATTCTAAGCTCACACATAGACACAAAGAGTAACCGCCCGTCACACCTTGGTTTGCGCGTAGAGAACGTAAACTCCAACGGCCTTCTTTAATATGCTCCCCGTAAGACAGTCCCATTATAAGGTAGCATCCTTTCGTCGCCTATTAATTGACTTTAACAAGATATTAAAGTCAACTTGTTATTCAATCAGAAGTTACAATTAGGTATTCAAGCGCACGTTCGACCTTTAGTTAATTGTCCTTAATTGAGGCCTTTTCTATAGAGCTGAGCCTCTAAAACTAACCTAAAACTCATGCATAGCTCTTATTCGCACAAGAACTATGGGGGATAAAGAGTTTCGTAAACACAGAGTGCTTTTTCTGCGCGAACACTTTTTTCGGTAACTCAGTGAAGCTATTTATAAAAGGCGGATGGTCGAAAGGCCGCATCGATTATACACACCGAACGAAATAAACAAGTACCCGCGCACAAAGGACACCGTAGAGACAAAGCGCAAATAGCCCTTTCATGCACCGGGGGTGGAAAGATATATTTTTTTTACACTGGAAACACACGCTATAAAGCAATCAATCTATTATTCTACCTCCGATTGTCTATTGGTATCGATTTCGGTTGTTTCAAGTAAGTGAGGACACCGTGCCAATAGGACTAATGTAACAAATATGTGAATAAAGTCAAAGATAAGTCAAATATATTGAATTTCTGTTGACCGCGGATTTATGTGAGCATTCTATCAGGCAAGTACTGCTAATCAGGCTAGATCATCGAATTTGCACAGTTAGCTCAATCAGCGAGCACTGTTGGGCAAGCATTTCATTTCGTCGCTTCCCGCCGCCTAATCCTGCTTCGAGATTGTCTTGAATTCCTGATTCACGCGAATAATTCCAACTATTCCATTGGTCAAATCTGGACATGAGCCTAGTGGCTTTCGTTAAGGTCATTTACCGAAGGGAGCCTTTCACTGCCCCATCGAGGTTGGGGCCTGTGAAACGCCCATGGCTGTGTAGCCTTGCCGTTTGTAATGTAGGGCACTAATATTTTTTGCTTTCTCGATATATCGACGCATCCACTCATTAGAACTATGCTACGTAGAGATGCAATGGAACGCCTCCTATTCTATGTTGCTCCGACAGCAGCTGCAGGGGCGGTTCATTATGTTTCTCTTCTGACCAAGGTGGCGATCTACGTAAGGTGCTTAACGTGACCTTTTCACATATGAACACATCGAGTGCGGACACACTCTATGAGCAGCAGGAACCTGTGCGGCTGGCGACAAGAGTAGCTTCTGTCAGTCAAACGGATGTATTTTTTGTACGCCCCACTGAGAAATAACGTTTGCGGTAGGTCTAACCTACGGTCTTGGTACTGACCTGAGGCCTCGCTCCTAGTTTTCTTTACCCTTTTTTTTGGTTCGGACCGAGGCAAGCATTAGGAAAAAGGGCTCACGGGGTGAGAGTTTGCTCAAGTGGCCTTGGCATGACATCGGTTGGCCTTAATCAGTTACGCGCAGAATTCGTTGTTCGACCATTGGCGTGTTTTGCAGTGTGATACGAACGTGCAATAGTCAGGTAGGTCACCTGGCGACATTTATGAGTTAGAGGAAAAGCAGGCCAGCGTGTGTCCAGAGACGAAGAGAGCAAAAGAGCGTTGCAGGTGCCCAGTTGCTCAAGACGAACGTAGTGTTTCATGTACAAGTTTTCTTTATGAGACAGCTTAGCCAGGTGGTTAGTTATTCTTTGCCAGTAATACTCTTTGTTTATATAGCGGATGTCAAGAAAATTTACAATGGTTTGTATTGTGGCTACAGGCAGCGATACTGGTGTTGGCAGTACCATCTTAAAATGCCACTGACAAAATGGCAGCTGCTTTCAACTTACAATTATAGAGATTTTGCCATAGTTATTACCGGATTATGTATAGGCGACGCTCCCTTTTTGACACCCTGCATGTTCTAGTGTAGGCTAGCATATATATAATTGTAGGCTTAAGAATCATAGATTAAAAAAAAGGGGGCGCGACATCTCTCGAGTAGTGTGTTTCCATACATGGGGCCGAACGAAGTGTGGACTATGCATCTGAAATTGGCTGCGCTCTTGGGGTAGATTAACCTCTGTTAAAACCTGTGATTAACTGAATATCGTCTGTCTTTTTTTTACTAAGTTTTAAGATAAGTTCCAGTGCGAACTTAGCTCATATGGTGTGCGAAATGCTGCATGCTTGAGACGAAAAAAAGTGATGCGAAAAAAAGTCATACCAAACAATCATAGGTAGAACCGATTATTTCCTACTTGTTTGCGTTGTCTACCGCGCCCTGACTTCGTAGACCCGATAGTGACAGGCCAAGCCTCTGCGTTCATTACCGATGATTAAAAGCCGTCGGTTTATGTTCTATTTTCATTCAGTCGCGGTATATCCGCTGGCGGGACGAGCAGCGATCCCCGAGCGACAGAGGCCACTCGGTATCAGGTGCTAATCCTCTACATCACGAAATCAGGTTGCATGCAAGGTAAGTGTCATAAAGACATTACGGTATGTACTTGTGTTTTTTTTTTGTTGTCGTCCATAAGATCAGCCGGGAGCTGGGCATAAGTGCGTTCAGAATGGAAGCATGTGCTGGAAAAAGCTAGACTTTGCCTCGCTCTTAACAGTCAACAGTGTCCCCCCCTCCCTCCCTCTCCCTCTCCCTCTCTCTCTCTCTCTCTCTCTCTTCAGATTTGGTATTGTTACAAGTGCTATCGCCTCATATTCCGACGGGATGACACCCTCAGCCGTTTTCGAATTGAACCAGAACACTTTCATTTTAGTGGTAAACCATTGGCAACCCAGTGCTAGTGCATTAACCTATACTTAAGTCCTTTGGATGGCTTCACCTCTATTTTTGTAACAAGTTCGTAAATATATGTAAATATATGTAGCAATCTGGCATCTAGATCTAGTTGGAAATAAGCGGTCGGAATACTCGGAGTTCAGATTTTTTTTAAACTGTATGCCTGATGAAGTGACCGTAACAGGTAGACTGGCAAAACAAACAATCAGCAATTTTGCCTGTTTGCAAAGGATAATAAATTAGCTAGTAAACTACTGAAAAGAAAGATAATTTATTTTTAATTAAATCGATTTCAACATGTAGTAGAATTAATCATAACAGACATTTTTAAACTGATTACGGTTAATAAGTGTACGGAATGCATTCAAGTTATTGGCTCGCAAGAACCATCTTTGTGGACCCCTTTAGTACTACCTCTTAGACCACCTTTAGCGCTTACGACATCATACTATTTAGCTTTACAATTTGGAAGCCTATGATCTTTGTACGTTTGCTGCCACCTTGGCTTGGATATTTGGATTTGTCAGTTGAGTGGATCACAGATGAGTGCAGTTTCGTGTTAGAACTCGGTAGTTCATAGTGGCAACTTTTCACTTGTTATTGAAACCATGGATAGTAAAGTCACTCTTGAAGAACTATGGAAGTCTGTGAAATTTTACGTCCGGCACTGCGACATTAGACACTGCTTCAAGAGGCTGGCTCCTGCCTGACGACCTGTACGTCTACGCCCGGATTCGAATTTTCATCACCACAAGTCCTTAATAATTATTGAGCAAACATGTTAGCTATAACATAGACTTCTACTAATGATGCTTTTATCTGTACCTGTTTATTTCATCAAATCCCTTCAACGAGTAGAAGGGTAATGAGCGAAGAGGCCCGCAAACGCAATTTACGCCGTCAACAACAGCGTCAACAACAGCTGACCAAACACTCACACAGGGTAATTAAGCGCGTGATTAAATATTCAATATATTTGATGACCTAATATCTAGAAATTGAGGCTTAATTGCCACAGCTCAAAGCTAGGATATTTGATGGATAGCGATATTTAGTGGATTTATAATCTAAGTAATCTTATTATTATTATAAGTGTGAAGTGCTTGTGGTTCGCCTAAAGTTTCTATAGTAGAGCTAGTGATCGCAGCGGGGTTGAAAATGTTCTTTGCTGGACTCATCTTCAACGCAACACTGTGAGCATCCCTAGACGTCATTGAATTTCTATTTGTACTAGCCACCTCGATTGTAATTCCTCGTCGAATGACTGTGGGAATAAATGACTAGCAGCAGTCGAGACAGCTGAAAATAGTCTAATGGCTAAGCATTGTTCACGATTCCTATCGTAAAGGGCGCCCCATGCGTCTGGCCCCTGGATAATGGCGCCACGTATACGACACATCATAGGCGTCTGCTAATGCAGAATTCATACGCTCCATCGATAGGAGAGAGTATGGCGAGAAATTTAAGTTGGGCGAGGGTGCATAGAGTACCAGTAGTTGTGATCCTTATTGATCAAATTAGCTCAATAATAATTATTCGTCTGCATGGTAATTAACAAAACTAGTAATAATGTCGTCTTGCCGTTCTATCGAATCTTTTACCTTTTCACCTCTACTGTATAGTTGACGCTATGCGGTGACCAATCTAGAAGTCAGATGAAATTATCCCGCAGCTCATCGTTCGACTCTTATTGCGGGAACGCTGTGGAATTGCTTTCAAAGTCGATAGGTACCATTGATGACACGTTCTCAAAACGCTCACTGCCGGAAGGTCTCAGCAGTGCCGCTGGGGAGGTGACGCTTTGCTGTTGCATTGACGTCGAAATGGTGGACTTCGTCCTTAAAGACCAAGACAGCAGTGTCTCCAGCGACGAGGTATTTACTCCCTGACATAGTTGAGGCTTTGTCGCGCGCACAACCTGACGTTAAAACGCTCGACCAGTGTGCACCCACGTCAAAATGACGTTAGAGCGAGCGACTACATAAACAGGATGGAAACTTCGGCACTTCTTGCAGCACCGATATCAGCTTGTATGCGCGTGTATTGATGATGAGTGCACAGTACATTTCACGTTTCACCGGCGTCCTGTTTTGGCACGCAAAACGAAATTAAATAACACCAAAGAATAGCAGTGAATGTACGTACAAATAAAGTGTATTGCATTGCCTTTGGGTTTAAGCTTTGAGAGAGTGCGGCAAAGCCGTTGAACTGGTCCGTTCAAAGGTCTGTAAACTGTATCCACGTTAACAGTTCGAGACAACACGCGTACTGCGGCGGCTCGATTCAAAAGTACACACTGCTATCATTTAGAAGTTTGCCAGAGTAACATGGAATAAATCGAACGTGTTAAACGTGCTTCAATTAACTTGAATATATGCACCAGGAAGTTTGCAGTGTCTACTTCGGACATGCATTTTTGAGCCCATGACAATTGCGACCACCTATTGACACCATATTAGAAACATTTAAATAGGAATATACATTAGCATTAATGCTCCTAAATCTATGGCACGTACGAACAGATATATACCATATAACCTTTTCTTGGTTTCCATTGGATACTTAAGAATCTCGGTACGGCATCCGGCTTAAAACAAATACATTAGATTTCCCAAACTATGTATTTGCCACATATTTGGATTTATTCTGCACTTGCCGCTGAATTAGCTAGCATTGGACGTTATATACTGACGTTTGACGGCGTAATTTCGAAAGTACGGTAAAATATCTTTAGTCATGAATTGTATGGTGTGAAATCAATTACTTCATTTCCTGATTACGCAATGTTCAGTTTCGCTTTACAGTTATCGTCGTACAGTTTCAGGCACACGCACACACTCTGCATTCAAATCACACTTATTTTTCCCTCAAGAGATTGTCTTCTTAATAATTCTATAGATTTAATCAAAGTTGCTAAAGAGATACTGCACACGTGATTCATCGCATATCTATTCGGACCGTTACAGACGTTTTCCACTGACATCCTATTGGTTATTCTCTACTTTGATTTTAAGTCGGAAGTCCAAATTGTTAGCTTTAGCTTTTCAACTCAGTATTCAACATATCATCCACCTTTACATCACGGGAAAACTCTTAACCCTATATCTAATTATTCAATCGTGATGTGACCGGTCCTTATTCAATAGACGCAAATGTCTGGGGGCTACCGACGTGGAGGAGTTCGTGCCGGCTATGGCGGCGGCGGAGGAGGCGGCGGCCTCGGCCAAAGAACGAAGAGCCACTCGCACTTCAACCAACCGGAAACGATTGAAGAGGGCCCACATCAGCAACTTGGAAGATATAACAAGGACTTTAATTCAAACCTCGAGGACGAGGAGGGCATCACTTTCGTCGCCAGAACAGCGTCTCAACGAGACCCTCAAAAAGATCGCAAAGTTCTAACCGAGGCTGAAGCTGTTTTGCCCTGGAAAAGAGGCGACGAAAATCTGGCAGAAGACGGAAGTGTTGGTCAGGTGGGGTCATCAATGTGATCTAGCGAGATACCAAACGATAATAGTAAACCGCAAATAGAGCTTTTAATAACAATTGGGACCTGTTATTCGAATGGACTAGTGTTAGCTCGTTACAGATTGTTATCCATCCATTAGTTTTACGCCATGCCAAATGTGTTCGATCACGTATGAACGTACACACGTGCAATGCACCTGCTGAATGCTTGGTTTAACGGCAACTAGCTGAAATATCGGAGTAAACAAATGTATAATTGTAATAATATTGACTGTATACGAAGTGTACAGCAAAAGTGGCCTGTCGCAGTATACTACACCTACGAGTGCTTCACTGCCTTGGAAGCATTGCATTTAAATATAATAGATATTTATTTGAGTTCTCCTAATCGTTGCGTCATTCCGTCGCGTTGCATGGATCGCTCAGGGGTCATCTGCGAGCCGTCCAATGCACGAAGTGCCTTCGTGGTTTGAGAACAAGGAGTACACCCGATATCGATCACCTACTGCAACGCTCATCAACAGGTAATGCACATTTCTGCTACACTTATTGCACTTGGAAATATAATAATGGGCTATAACAAAAAAGCTTTAACTGTACAGCGATGCAAAGGCCTTAGCCAAATGAACGCCGGCCAACTTTAGGAAACTACACTTAATCCAGAAAGCGAAATTTTGCAAAAATATGAAATCGAAAATTGTGCAAAGAAGAACGATAGCGTGTCTGTTGTGCTAATAGGTGATCTAGCTGAATCGCTCCGTGGTTCCATCACTTACTGATCGTAATAAATATTTCAACTTGTTTGATCAGTCCATCCAGATAGGATATTTGCATTTATCTATTATTTGTTAAACCGTTCTCCTGAACAGATAAAAGTGTTTGCTCAAGAGAAGGCTCCTCAGCTAGCGCTACTGTCCGTTCAACGCTGGAAACATATTCATCTCACCAAATTTTACAAAATATTAAAAAAAGCACATTTTTCTGCACCTGGCTTATCTCAATAGTTATGTCTGGTGAATTACCGATTTCCTTTCATGTATTTTAAATGCTATATACGTTTTGACCGTTAGTGAGCCCATACAGAATGCTTCGTTCACTGATCCACACGCCTTTAGCACAATAAAAATCATTTTTGGTCCTAAAGCTCTAGCTCTCCATATCTCTGATTCATTGTTGTGTAATTTGCATACAGAGATTCCCCATGCATTGTCGAAAAAATACTTGATGTTTATTAGTATTTAGACGACTCATAACCAAAATGCTTGGACTCCTTGTACGTTTAGTGTACCCAAGGAGTATAAGCTAAGCCAATCGCCATCTTCGTTTGAATAGCTGCGAACGTTAAAGAGAAATATAATAGCATTATCCTTCCCGGCCGAATTAGAAGTTCTTCAGCATTTTTCGTTCGCCTTCATTCTTGTGAAGTTTTCGCGCCAATTTTTAACAGCCTCTTCTATATCTATTGATGAGCTATTATCTAGGCTAGCATTAGCTTGACTATCACAGTCATATAGTTGATCTTCGGTGACCATCCTGTTGATGCTTACGGTGAGAACGGTATCCTTTATCGAGGTGTTTTTTCCTTTATCCTACGCCATAGACTCGACATGAGTCGTTCAGCCAGCGAGAGTAGCAGCAGCAAGAAACCGGCTGTTTTCGATATTTTCGTGAAATTCGACCAAACCGGACCGTCCAATCGGCATAGCAACGATGCTGATACAACGATTATTCAGGTTGGTCGCTTCGTGCATGCACTACGAGATTTTCAATCGATCTGTGCTTGAAATTGTATCCAAAAAAGCTGTAAATACAAGGGAGCGCGTACCGCCCACAGCCCAGCATGTACAGCATTTCCTGGTTACAGTGATAGCAATTGCACCAAATCCAGTTGGGCTGACTTCCAAAAGGAGCTATTTTTTACGCTTGTCTTCATCATATGACCAATGGGTACTTCGACAAGGCAATGCTTACTTTTTGTATTTTGAAGCACGCACAGAATAGAAGTCACGTATAGACTGTGGCAATTGCTATGAGTAACGCATTATAGGCTGAGTCGCGCCTGTATTTTTATTTTCAGTGGTCGACTTTCGACTCCCGGCGAGTACTTTAGGTGATAGAATAACAGCAGGCACACCTAACGCCAAAACGACGCATACTTTGTTTTACATTCGTTTCTTATCCAATTTTTCCGATTAGGTGGAACCAGCAAATCGGCAAGAGGCTCACCCCAGGCACAACAAGGAGCCGGAAGATAATGTTCGTCTCTAAGAAGCTCTTGTTTAAGATTACGGACTACCGCTATTATTATTTGATCATTATTTGTATTATTGTCACTGTCAAGAAACAGCAAGTTCCAAAAATGACAACTTGTTTGATTGAAAGGGAATAGAAGCTTACAAAACTAAAATAACCCTGGTCTACCAGGTCGTTCCAAGGGACTTTCTAAAAACAGGCGGTGCTGTGATTGCTGGATCACCTCATGGATAGCCTTTTAGACCATTCCATAGGTGAGAAGGCTTAAGCCACGCTTTAATTTAAAGATGAGCTAATAACAAATGTCACTTACGAATAAAACGACGAAAAATTAGGCGAAAGTTAAGTACAATACCGGGTCAGTACCGATGTGCGCATCGGATATCTATAGGAAAATTGTAGTAACGAGGTCGATCATACGCAACCGGATGTCCAATGCAATTGAAAGGATGTCCAATACTTCTAGAAATGCCCGTATCCTACATTTTGGGTTGATACTTTTCAGCCAATTTCGAGTGACCTACGTTTCAACTATTACATCCGGTATTACCGTTATGCATTCCATCAGACGCTTCTAATACGAAACAAATTGTGTCTATACTCGGATTCGATGTGTCCTTAAGATTAGGAAGTAGATACGTTACACACTACGCTGCCACGAGGACGGGAATTTCGAGTAACATATAATTGCCGAAACGCGACAGGACATGTAAATATTGAGGAAAACGATAAAACGGACCAGTGCCACACAGCCTAGAAATCGCTAACAAAAGGAGGTTTTACTATTGGCAGTGTACAAAAAGGCCGGTTGTACGCAAAAGTTCGAATTTTCCCTGTCCAAGAATATATATTCCGGTATGGCATCCTCCCGCTAAGTGAGACGGTATTTGATTGACGTAGTAGAGTATTATTGTCAGTAGGCGCGCGCCAACGCGCTATAGTACAGTTTCAATGACGGAACAGTATGTTCTGGTCAAACTGTATGTCCTGCCCCGATATAGATAAACAGACGAAGTGGTCAAGAGAGACCGAAGGTCTGAAGAAAAGCAACGACGAAACCAGTCAAGCTAAATATTAAAAGATATCTCTCTAAACACACTATTAAGAGCGAAACAAAGTTGGGTTTGTGTTCATTCCAAGGAGATAAAAACATTTTTCGAAAAAAAAACTCCAGAAAAATATGGATGGAAAATGCACTACAACAAGGAGAAAATAATTAACCTTACTGCATGTCGTTTGCCATTAGTACAAGGAAACAATGACGGAATCAATGGCGGATTGTTTACATACACTACCGTAGATCAAACAAGAGACACATGCACAAAGCCAGCCACAAAAGGTGACTAACTGATGTATGCCAACAAGTTGGCTGTATGAAACATTTTCGCTTTGTCCGCATATTGTTACATTGGGACCATCTTATCGAAACGTTTTAGTCCTCAGAGAACCCGTCAATCCACCGACGCTTCTCTAAAAAGGTCGAAAAACATGTATTAGTATAATACGCTATTACTGAACTTTGTTCCAAAAAGTAACTACGACATACAGGTACCTAAGGATATCCCTACACATAATCACGTTTTAGTTTATAAGAAGCTCTTCACGTTTTGCAGGCAACATTGATTCTTATAAGCTTTGCCAATAAAAGGTAAATTGACCGTTGCTATTCGAACCGAACCTATTTGGGGTAGCGTAAACTTTTAATATATATGAGACCTGCGTGACCTCGTCATCCTCTGCTTTTGGGGAAGCTAGATATCGGCATTGGGATGGTGTCATAAACAGAATGGTAATTGTAGCCACTTGCGCAACACAAACAGGAGTTTACGTATATATTCCTACTTTATCCATGCATGTTGGTCGTAGATTCACCTTCGCGTCATGGATAGAAAAGTCGTTATAATAGCATTTGCGCCTTAGTTCCACTGGCTTTCCTCCATCGTGGTCCTATTTAGCGCCCGTGATAATAATAGTTGTGGCCATAATGGTCGGAGGACCATGGCTGGTTCAGTGGGTGCTGACGATTTTACTTTAAACATATTCTGCCTGTTAACGAGATAACTAAGTGTAGGCGAAGGGGGGCTAACGTCTTACGGAACAAAGGATTTGCAGCCTTTATAGGACTGTATAACGAAGCAAACTACGTATCTGGCAAATCTCAAACGACATAGAAATATGGTTCACAAGAATTGATCCAAAGCTGTGACAAAACACGTCGCTGAAGTTGTGCCAAACACCCACTTTATTTTTATTATTATTTGCTCTTAAATAAAGAGTAGAAAAAATTATATGTCACCTCACAACAGTTATGTCCTCGCTCTACTGAAAATGAGCAGGGTAGTGACCCAACTAGACAAAAGCAGTATTAGGGTCAACGTTTTACCGTTCCGCTGTTGAGATGCGTGAAGACGTACTTCAATCCAATGTTTTCCGTCCTAGTACTTTGGATGTTAACAGTTAGTTCTGTCAGCTGATATTTTAACGGACGCTATTTTCTTTATTATTATCACTACGGAGGAGGATAGAATTTTTATTATGATAATTATGACACATAATTAATAAATTTTATATTAATTTGAACAGAAATTCACTTGATTACAGAATTCAGCTACGAGGCCTCGACTAATGATTAATATTATTACTCTAACTGTTATCGTTAGTATTGTAATTGACTTATCAATTGGACTATTTATTCACTGCGAATTATTGGTGAAAAATTTAACGGGAAATATTTTTGAGCCTGTTTATTTCGTTTTCTTTCAAGATGTTTGCCATGAGTGCCTTGTCATATTTGTTATTTATTTCGATGATGCATTTATCACATTCATGAAATCCTATCCTCGTACATGACATCACCAATATTTCATTATTTCATGCCAGTACGCGTACGAATGTGCAAATTTTTTGACGGTGACCACGAAACAGCGGAAGACAATATAAAAACACCGACGTGCGCCCTATAACCAATAAATCAGTATCTGCACGACATACTTCTCAGGCTTAGAAAAGTTGCTGAAGCAAGCCAATTTTAATCTGGAAGAGTTGACAAGCGTTATTAACTCTGTTATGCTGAGTTCTGACGGCTTTTATTAGCTATAGACCTAAATAGGTCATAGATCTTCGTCGCACATATACATGCAGCTAGAGTCACACGCAGTAACAATTTTTTGTTACCGCTAATTTTTCAGAACACTTATTATTAACTTACTTATTAGCTTAATTGAAGTAAACATATAGCCGATAAAAATATAGTAGTTATGTGAACTAATTAAACTATTTAACTTAACGAATAGTCGTTATTACAGTAATAGTTAAAATAAATTTAGACATACGTACGCTATAGTAATCTAAAAAAATGTTATGGAAAAACAATTAAAACATGTTGGTGCAAGCGGCGATAGCAAGCAAACCACAAACACCATATACAGATATATACATTACTATATACATATATATAAAGGCTGCGGTATTTACGTACTAATGCTGCGTTGTCAAGTTATACAGAAATGGAGTAGGAAAGAGTGAGAGAAAAAGAAACCGGAGTCGATAATGATATTCAGAAAAAGTGGGTTGATTCGACAGATTGACTGATTTTGAGTGGACATGTTGAAACGAGTTGGAAAATAAAGTAAAAATTGTTGGTTTGTATATGTTTTGTTGATGTTTGGGTGGGGTAAATTTTTTTATCGTTAATATGCAGTTGAAGGGGTCAAGCAAAATGAGGGACTGTTATATCATAGAAGATAAGGTAATGACTATGGTGCGGGTAGGCCGTTTATATGTTGTAAATTGGCAGCGCCCCCAATTTCTAACGTCACGTGGAGTATTAGAATGTTTAGTTGAGATTCTACCTACTCTCATGATGACTTTAGCTAATAATCTAGATCACATGCCATTTATGATATTGATTAATGAAGACCATTCGAAATAATGACGATAAAAAATACTGTTATTATGGATATTTTTCGGCTTATAACTGACCAAAACGATGACTCTGAGCCAAATTTCTCCCATTTCAAGGACTGTCGTGTTTTTAATAGAGTCAAACGGTGAATATCCTAAAATGTATCTTAAGGATTCTTAAAATGTATCTTAGCACTCATGGACAAAGGATTGGTGAAAGGTCTCGTCATCTATACCTATGTCCTAAAACTTGGTGTTTATCCAAAAGTCTCTGCTTATCTATTTATCTAAAACGTCAGTCGTTTGTACATTCGCTATTTAGATACTGTGAAGCTAAGCGGCATTTCGAACAAACTATTCCACATTTAATGAACTTAACATACACTATGAGTATTTTTGACACACGTTAAAATTTCATTTTGCTAACTATTAAGGTTGATATCAATTACAGTTTGGAAGGCGACTTCATCAAGACGGGCGGTTCAATCGGAATAGACTACAGATGAAGCCGCGAGACAGCGAAATACACGCCTTTCAGTTATATTTAAAAATGGTGATATTATTGAGAAAACGAGGTGGAAAGCTTTACGATGGAATAAAGAGCCGAAATATGTAAGGTTTTGGTTTTTACCCACCGTTATTTATTTCGTTAAGTGTTAACACGGCAGCGTTCATTAAAAGGTAATAACAACGTTTTGAGTTAATCTAACTAAAGTCACAATTACCTTTCGTAAAATAGAGCGCTAGCAATCGTTCCACCAGTCGGTTACTGTACAACGATAGATTGACCGTGTTCAGTTTTCCTTTGAATTTATTCTTCTTCTTTAAATTTATTTCGATGAATCTTTCACACTCTTCAAGCTAAACAGTTGAATTTGACACACGTTGCATAAGAATAAATCTGAAAGCCAACTGTGTGAATTGAATATATGGTAAGATAGGAAATAGAGCACAAACTATCGTAGCATAGTTTGAAATTACAGGAGTCCATTTAGCATAAAGCTGTTGTTTAACACAAACGTAAGATCCACGTGCTGCATATCGAAATATATGGTACTAGTTAATATATGTCAGTCCTCTCTTCGGTCTGTTGAGGCCAATTTCGAATTGTTCAGTAGGCGCTGGCGACTACAGCTTGTTACTTTCGAGTTCTAAATGATCAGCTAAAAGAACTGTACTAGCAGCATATCTTTCGTGGCTTCTTCCAAGTCCTCTTTGCAAGGTCCACAGTCTGAGTTGAGCCAGCTCATTTGAGTCATCGACATATATTTTCATAAGCATATACTTTTGTTATTATTATTGTTTATATTTTTATAACATGAAGTAATACATAAATGGCTATTTCTATCGCAGGTCTTAAGAAGAATAGATCTCTAATAATGTTATGTATGCTATTATACACGATGTCCGTTATACTATCGCTTTATATATGCCTATATTATTTTACTGAATAAACAGCGTCGATAAAAGCTATCATTGCACTACAAGTGTTCTAATAAATTTTTTCAATTTCAGGAGTCAACATCCAAAATAATGATAGGCGGGCTGATGATGATAACCTTACTTTTTTCCAAAAGCGTTGTGTCTTTTGATGCCTTTCTCAACAGTCTTGATCCCTGGAATCTAGAAATAGTTTGCGATTATCCGAATGGTGAATTTTATTCATATGTACGTTACTCGGAAAGTATTACAAATACTTAGTTCATTAGATAGCGTATGACGCTACCTCTCAGGTTGCGACGTATCCAACGGGGTACGCGTTACTTAGTTTTGCGCATTACGCCGTTAATTATAGTCAGTAGGCAGTAACTGGTTTCAACCTAGTTAGTGGACTCGTGTTGATAATATTATTGCGAGTTATCAACTAATCTTTATTTTTTATTCATCAATTAAATGTAAACAAAAAATTACTAATAAGCTGTAATGTTGACAGATCTTACGAGGTTAATTACGCTTCATACAGTAAAAACATGTGTGTTTCTCAATGCGGACATATCTTCTTACTTGCCCGGATTTATTTTTCGTGAAGCAGTGTATAGAACGCCCACATAATTACTGTAACAATAACGCGCAGTTTTTCGATTTTCAACTGTAGCAATATTCGAGTAAACATTGCATTTTCTATTAAAGAATAATACATTTGATTTTATCAGTTCGTATATTTCTGGTGATGCTTGTTCTGCTAAAGCTTTACATATCAAAAAGTGTAAAATAAAAAAAAAAAATCAATTAGTGAAGAAAATTTAAATTGAGTCAATTCCAATAGGGGTTTAGCATTATTGAACATTTTTCAACATCTTCAGGGTCGAATCTTGAAAATGTTTAAACATACGAATATTTATTCAAACTTTCAAAAATATATTTCCTCAAATTCTACTCTTGTACATTTCTACTTTCAGCAAGATGAATGCACGGTGGTATGCCGAATGTGGATCGATGAAATCACTGACTGGGTTTGTTAATTTGCTTTAATATAATTTTTTCTTGGTAAATATTTTTAGGCTGTTAAAGGTTCAGCAAACCTCAAGCACCCTATCGATGTTATTAAAAAGCTACTGAAAAATCGTTCACACTGCTTTCACTACAACTACCGTTGTCAGCGTTGTCAGTGGCCTCTTTTTACTTTGATCCCACCTATATTGTTATGATTGTACAATTCAATATTGGAAAATATCTAAATGATGATAATAGTTTATTATTACAATGACAATATTTTCACAATTATTTGTTCAGGGTTTCAAGCGGTTTGTCCTATACCACAAAATGTGTGGTCCTTTAAAGCAGGGTAGATGCCATAAAGCGACAAAAGTTCCGAAAGATGATCTCAGCTTCCTAGGAGAAACGGGATTTTGCCATCCGCTTTGCCCAAAAAAAGTCGAGGGTGACGACCTTCATATGAAAACAAGACACTGTTCACGATATGTAGAAATGTCTCCTAAACAAAACCCTCAAAGGGAAAACCTTACACTTTGGGGTACTCAGAGGAAGCATAGACAAAGTTATAAATGGGATTTTAAACAAGACAATTTGAAAAGCTCAAGATGGGCCTCAAAACGAGCTTCCACACGACACCGTGTTAAAATGCCTAGAAGCGTCCGGCAACGGGAGCCGCAACAAAATTACTTCCTACAAAGAAGCCAAAACTTAACACACAATAACATTCAACAACCAGCTTTTACGTGCAGCAGCAGCAACATAACTACCACACTCAAATAAGTTAAGCATGCATATTTTTTATAGGTAGACCGCTATTAAAAGCGATCTCAAATAGCGCTATTAATAATACAGAATAAAAAACATCGTTTTGTTAAAATTCGTAGTATAACATTTATGATGATGTTTCATTCGTCTCATTATTTTGTTCTCCAAATTGTAGGTTATTCATACACAACTAACAGGTATCTACAAAGGGACATTTGAACTTTCATTCAAATCGGTGGCTTTGCTTCTCATTGAGCGTAACGTAAAGAAGACTGTACTTCTGCCAGTATAAGCCAGAGTTAGATTACAGTCCTACGTAAAATGTAACTGAAGCTGGTAGCTTTCGCCGGAATATTGAAATGGTAGTAAGCTTTCTACCGAATGCTATCAAGAATGAAGTGCTGTTACAAAAATTACGCGGAAGTGAAATGATAAAGAACACATATAACAAGTGTTAATAGTATGCTATAGCGCTTCCAACTATAATATATATATATTATATATATCTAACATACCACTTGACACTTAGCCATATTGAGTGAAGGTGCAATCGGAAATGTCAGTGATTGAGAAGAACAGACGCGTTCTACTGGAGAAAATTTTCGGAGGCAATTTCAATTTCGTCAGATCGTATTTGCTGAAAAAATGCAAAAAGGAAACGAGTTTTTAAGTATTTTGCTTGGAATGACGTCGTATTAAAAAATAGGTCTTCACATATTAATTGTACAGAAGCCGTTCAACGCAGACATAATCTCGTATAGAATAGTAGTACAAAAGGATCTATGACAAATCGTCATAGAACAAAATACAGACAAAGGTACTACACAAGTTTATACAGCTGTACAGTATGACAACAACATCTACTTGAGAACAGAGCTCAATAAAACGCCAAAATGAACAACGGTTAGTTATAAATTCATTTTCAATAAGCCGCCAAATGGTTTTTAAAGATGAAAGGTGATAATTTTCTGACATCGAAATTGTGTTTGGCGTGTGATTAAGCGTTCTTAGTTTTATATAAATAATCAGATTATTAAAGCCTCGGGAATGACGGCGCCGGATGTGATGGTGGCGTACTGCGCGTACTTCGTCACCACATACCTGTTAGGGCAGTTCAATCTCTTCTCATGAGTAGTCCTATATCGCTTCGGTATTGACAAGCTTTACGACGATTTTCAATAACGCAGATCGCGCGCATTAGTTCGTGGAACGGATACGTGGAACGTCTTCAGTTCATCAGTAAACAAGAGTATGTTAGCAAATGTAATAGAGACAGTCTGTTTTCTGAAAACCGGTCGAACTCCAATATACGTTTCAAAAAGACACTTGGAGATTCCGTTTGGATATTTTCGCACACGGGAAACAGTTAACCCATTCATTTGTCACTTCTGAGTCAGCTACGTCGCTTGTTTGATTCTTAAAACTTTTTTCGGAGACGCAATCTAATCTGTGAGGAAATGTACCTATTTTTACGTCCTCTTCCCGTGTACTATGTGCACTGAACATCCTGCGTATATGGACCAAATAAGCTATAGTAGTTCTTTTAGCGAAGGAATATACCGTGCAAAGCTGACATACAATCTACTCATTAAACCTAGTACCGTTTATTCCATAACAGACAGACATACACACCTTTACTTTATTTGAATTGACTTTTTAAGCCTGAAAAAATATACACCAAATTTTATTAAAAAAAAAAAGCAATTTATTTCCTGGTCTATGCGTGTTTTAATAACTGATATAATTTAACTACCTGAGATTCGTTGTGAGATTCGGTTTGATAAGGGCGTTTTCAAAAACTTATTATTTTCGAAGAAAATAACCTTTTTGTGCTTTTATTGACTTCTCTTATATAATATTTCAACGTACGGCCGCTACAATGCTATGTATGTTTTAGCGGTCATATGCGTGCGTATATGCGATTACATATGATCATATATGATTACTCTTACATATATACACACACATCTAAATAAACGAACATATTCGCACATAGCAACCCATAATAGGCAAATGCACCAGGAGGCCCTCTGTCATCTCTCAGAACCAGGAACTTCTTGACTAGGTGTTGCCTGCAAGAGTTACAACCCACCAGCGCCTTCAAATGTAACACTGCTCAACCTTATTTCGCATCCCCGGCGCTGTTAAACATATATCGTTTATCTAAAATAACCCTAATCGTTAATGAATCATATCACACGCCAATTTCAAGCAAGTGCTACTTAGTCTCGCTTTTCACATTTCTTGAAAAACATAATGTACACATAACGTTTTAAGTAAATGATGAGAGTGTGTTCTATAGGAGAGGCCATTCATAGTAAGATACACAATTGGCGCAATAATTGTATTACAGACGACAAACACTCGTATCCATGGTGAATATGATTTGGTTATGATGTAAAATAACTTCAGCGGGCTCCGTTTACAATTGAAGGTTCCATTTTATACTGTGACGCCGGACGTAAAGCATTACCTCGCTGCATCATCCCCTGGCCAGCGATTTTTGTCTTAGAGAGTACGGCAAGACAAACTAGTAAGTCTCATGTCAAGAGTTTCTTCAAAATGCCTTGGTCGTAGAACTGTGGCCTCTAAGCGTCAACACGTGCGTGGTATAAAGATTGCTGATTGAATAACCGTACGATATAAATCATAACTAAATCCACAAGTTTAATATCCACTCCAGATTTAGGCTGTTGTATTCTTACACACCTTGCTCAAACTATCAACTTTCTTTCCAATTTTCTCTCAAAATGAAACAAATCAGTATGTATGCCTATGAGTTCGAATGTTTTTGGAATCGTACATGAATTTACAAACAGAGCAATGCACTATGCGGTTCAGATAAGCGGTGCAAAATAATACGGTGCTTTTACCTTCCCATACCCTAAACGCACCGTATTATACACGAAATGCACTAGCTTTTCATCGTAGATTATTCATCCAGTAGATTTGCATCAACGAAGGTGAATACAACAGCTTTCGTGCTGTGATCCTACCATAAATGCACTATAGAAGTCTCTTGGTGGCGTTTCGTAGCATTCAACAGCTAGTTTTTGCTTTGCTCTAATCAAACTGCAGCGTTAGTCTCTTAAAATATGGGAGCTGCTCTCTCTTTGTCGGAAGCTTATTTGCGCCAAAAATCGCTTTTGATCTTCGCTCTTCACACACTCATGACCTGATGGCCTGACGCCTACGGACTGCTCGTCGTTCATGGTATTTGCGAGCGTCCGATATCACCCGTACTTGTTAGCGTACTGTAATCACATGCATAGATAACGACAAGAAAGTAAGAAATATAACTGTTATTTTTTATACCACTGATTCCTGCTTTGTTCTTGATACAATAAATAAAAGGCAAAGAAAAAATAAGTAAATAATGTATAAGGCATAGAAAATTGCATTCGAATCCTGCAATAGGACATCAATCCCGATATAATCAAGTCCTCTCATAGTTTACATAATTGGCATGAAAATCAACAAACAGTTACTATTCAGCAGCTATGTCTAATTCTGTCCTACAGCTACTGATAAGTTTTCCCTCGTATACTCATTTATTTAAAAGGCTGACTGCAGAAGCTATTGGCTCATGCTGCTTACGTCGGAAATGAAATTTAAAAAACAACTTATGAGCCATCCACATTGTCTTTTGTGCGCTCCTTCGCTTCCAACCCATCATCGTCGGCGCCACAGCTAAACTCGTTGAAATACTTTTCTAAAACGGTAGGATCCACCGACGCCTCTAGCTCGTCGGCCGTCATGCACACTTCCGCTGGCTCCAATTCCGGATCGGAATACACATCAACATAGCTGCACAAGCATGAAAAACGTACTGTTAGCTATAAATGTTTCAAAATTTACGTCCGATGCTATTTCCTACAAATTACTCTTGATGGTTGGCTCCCATTATTAATAGTGCGTGTTCAGGCGATTTTGAATCTATAGCACCTCTAAGTGTCTCGAAGTTAAAAAGATAAACACATTACGACTACCCGCCAGCTTCTCCAATTTGAAATAAAACTGTACTCTGACAGATAAAACGTTCCTAACTCTTGTTCGGTAGCAACAGACGCAAAAAATGCTTACGGACTGGCCATCAAAATTATATACTTCGAGAAATTATATAATAAAGATTGTAATAAGACCTATTCGGTCACTGGACAGACTTTTTTTCAAAACGATTTTTTAATATGGTTATCCGCTAGGGCTTTATTTTAATTCCGTAAAAGTATGCGTGTACATATTTATGGTGATTACAGTCATGATTGGGTTTTCTAATTACAACGTGAAAGGCTAAACTGCCTAAAGTGTCAAGCAAATAAGTTGAGAAACAATCGCGTCTGTTCGAGATAATCTTAGAGGTACTCAGTCGTCTTACCTGAAGGGTCCGACAATGGCGTAATCTGAAAGACGGTTTGTTCTCTGTGTTTCTGCAATGGCCCGCGCAATCCCGTTCAACTTTTCAAGGCCTGCACAGTAATTACAAACCAAATAAGGTGAAGGACTTTAACCGGTGATGCTATCCAAGCTATTCGTTACACATGTTTAATTTCTAACCGGAATCGCTACAAAATGGTTGTAGTAAACTTCGCTGTATTTTAACAATTTAATTGGGAACCGTAATGCAATATTATGCATTACATTCGTATTAACGTATTAACCAACATAATAATCTCAACAATCTTTATAAAACTGGGTCAGTCGCACACTACTGGCATACAGTGCTTAAAGTGTCTCAGACAGTGACGGTAACATCATCTACATTTCTTTCAACTCTGAGATTTCACTCTTCTCTCACATGCGCAAGCTACGCGACTGTGCTTACCTCGAAAGCAAATGACATCAGGGCCTCTCTCCTCAGGCTGACCATTTCTGCTCCAGTAATCGGAATTGGTATTGAGCTGATCGCTGGTTTTTGATGGCGTTAACCGTGGGCTTTCAAAAAAAGGTGCACTAGGCTCCTCTGTATCACTCACTAAGTCAGCACAAAAATAAGAACCATAAAATGCTTGCTAATAAATGTTATATTAGGCACTACTGAATACCATTTAGCACACATAATTATTATGACCAATTATACAACTTTCAAAAATAAAATTACAATAGTGCTCTTGCTACGGATAAGTTCCATTTAAATTTGAGTAACTGCTAACATACAAACGAGAACTGAAACAAAGTCAACTAAAGCATGACAGAATCGCAAAAGTTCGATAGCGAATCATTATAGCAATGTCGCGAACTCTTTACTGAAGTCATTTTACTTAGAAGCATGGTAACCAATATTAGATTTAACATATTATTGTTATGATTCTTACCTTCCACTGCAGCTTAAGCACATTCATGCCCACAAATGCAGCGTACCCAGCTTGCAGGTTATATACCCTATTTCTCTTTGACAACTATTTCTTCCAGCATCTTATTTTTTTAATAACTTGCTAGCTAAAGGACACTATTTTTCAATATTAAGCTGCATTAGAGTGCATTTGACCTAACAACACTGGACATCTCACAACACCTACCAGAGTGACAGCTGCACTCGTCACAACTATCGCTGTCTAAGCTGTCATCCAATGAATCGATATCATCATCTGCTGAATCCTCAGGATTGTCGCAAGGTATCTAAAAAAAATTTTAAAAAAAAAAACAAGAAAAAAATTAGAAATATTGTTTTCTGTTCGTTAATAGCAAGGTATTAATAACAAATAAATACTGATCAATGATCCTTCACAAAGGACGAAACGAAACAGGCAAGATCACAAATTACCTGACCTCATATACCTGTGATCACATACTAAGAGTAGTAAGTACGAGGCTCACGTTCTATTAAAATGAAGAAAAAACATAAAAAGTATACCACGCCTCTCTTTCTCAACATGTTACCTGATCTATATACACTTGCTTTGGCAACTCTAAACTTCCACATAAATTTCGATTGTGATCGGTTTTTTTCACATTTTGTATTTGCTGTTTTCCATAACAAAATATAATATTTGCAGTCGCGTATTCCGCTCGCACTAACGCTAGAACTTGAAGGCGTAAAGGAACTGGGGTAACGTCGAGCACAGCAACCGCACCTTATGTTTTCTAGATCAGACCCAGCTCAAACCACAGACGAAAAGAGTAAATGATCTCATATTCCAGCTAAATAACGCTAGAAAACACTGGCGGCACTAGTAGAACTGACGATTGACTTTGCCCCTTAATTTAAAAATATGTTTTTACATAAATGCCATAACCGGGTCAAACTGCGATGCGCAGAGGCGCCCCTCTGCGTAAATAAAGCTGGCTTTTAATTCAGCTTAACATGCAGCACAACAATTACTGCCGAATGTTATCCGCAAAGAGGATCTATACACACCCGAACAAACTGGACATTCCTCAGGTTCACGCTAAGATCGGCTACCTCTTCTAATACAGTTACGCCCCATGCAGCGTCAAAACCGGCATTACTTTCCTTCTGGTCAACGATTTGTTTTGTCGGAGTTGACGGTATCTCATGATCTGGAATAAAACCGAGGCAGAACTCAGATTATTGCTGGGCTTATAAAGCCTCATAGGGCCACTCTACAAACTTAAAGACCGCCACATATAGATGAACCAGAAACGGCTTAAGCCGGCTGCATTTAAAATCGTCATTGCAAGGAAGAGACGTGGCTTGAACGCGATTCGTCAACACTTCAATGGATCAAGCTTAAATGAAAAAAATAAAAGTATTTCAAACGAATGGTTTACACCACAGTAAACGTATGATAGGCACCAAAGCTGAAAATTTTTCGTCGAATAATCTGCTAGTTCGGAACAGAAGGCTTTCTGTTTCTTCCTTAGGCCGACCTGTTGTAATAGGTTATTACAGGAATAAATACATTTGGATTGAATTGGCAATAATTTAAATAAGCATGTTATATGTACAGAAATGTAACAGCATTACATACAACTATATCAATTATGGCCACTGGTATCAGGTAAAAACGAAAGCTTCGGTCAACCCGTTTTAGGAACAGATGGCAAGTCCTTTTGCGGGACCTAAATCTAATATGGTACTGTGCCAAAAGAAATATCAGAGTGTACAATAACAGATAGCACCCAACACCGGCTACATTGTAAGATACTCATGCATGTTCTTAAGTTAACACAGCTAAACAAAGGCGGCTTCTAACCTTGCGAGTCCTGTGAGGAACTCGATGATTCTTGACAATCCTTCAAATCGCTTTTTGGTCTCTTCTCTGCCTGCTTAATGTGTTCCGCCATCCTTTATTGGGCCTTGCTGGCCAATCCTCGCCTCAACAATTGATTCAGAAATACGGAATTCTATCTGAAACAAAAACGAATAAAATGCTAAACGCTATTTGTAAATTATAGCTCAAAAGCCTCCTTAGCTTCAAGGTTTTATAGCTTTAAAGTTTTCACGCTAAGTAATATAGGATTATACATACTGGACTTCCTCAGAGAAAATCCTAAAAGTAAGCACCGAGTACCACTGTCAAGTTCGATGTCTAGATACTCTTTTTGCAGGACCACAACTGTTTTGAACTGTTACGTATATGCACTGCTAAAATCAACTATCGAATAAAAAAAGTTCATTTTAGAGTGTAAGACACTTCATCACTGATCAATAAGCAGTGCTGCATAAACGGTTTGGCGGTCAGGGTGCGCAAATGAGGATTCGTGTTAATCGTAAAACATCTCATCAAGTGCATGTGGCACATCACTTTACCAAGAACTGTGTGTTTAACATCGCGCGCGCGCGCGCGACACGCGCTGTCTCCTACACCGATCTGTCCTAGCACTGCCTATATAAAGATTTCATTTCGACCATAAATAGACCAGCGGAATTTTAATGCACACACACATTCGTATTCGCCAGGTAGCTCTATCTATAGCTATCAAGGTAAATAAAGGTTGTATGTAAGGTAAATAAACATAATATCACACGTAAGAGCAATTTCTCAGACGGTATTAATCTAAACGTGAAATCTGGACGAGTGAGTAACCCCATCTATAAAAAACGTGGCACCCGACAATTTCAAATAATAATAACAAGTGCTATATCCACGCATAACAACCAAATACCCTTATTTTGAAGGATCATATTCAACGGTTTCACGTATAAATAACATAACACCATAACGATTCTGAGATCAAGCAAATCAGCTACTGGAGTTTCGCCGTAAATTCATATCAACCAATAGGTAGTGCTGCAATCGCTGCCATACGAAGCGCTGATGACGGTTGTTTTTCGTAAATTGTTGATTATTAATCATATTGTTACAGACGAATTCCTAAGTAATCGCTCTTAACCTTGGCAGCATTCCAGCTTATTTACGCCACCGTTTCATGTGGCAAGAACCACTTTTTCGAAATATGTAACTTAACACTGATCTTTCATCTTTCTCAATTGTGTTGTTTTGTTTGTAAATGCATATGCGCATGATCATCAAATGACACCAACTCACTCAGGTCAATATCCGACGCTATCCTCAAGGATAACTGACTGAAGAACATCTGAGTTAGAGGCTGGTTTACACTCTAGCCGTTTGTGTTGTTCCGTATAATATTCGAGAAATGATTACAGCATTGTTTCAGCACTCACAGAACCTCTTACTGTCTTGAGGGCCATTTAATCAATCTACAGCTGCGTGTCATTCAGTTGATTCACGGCATACAATAACAGTGTCTTTATCGAAACATTAAGCATCACATTAATCACAACAAGAACGAGACGACTTGACAGTAGCAGACGATGCCGTCATCAACGTCGTAGTTTGTATACAACACACTTAGTTGGCGGAATTCAATTCTCGGAACGCTGAGACGGTTAAGGATTGGAAAGCCATATAGCGTTTCAAAAGGCACCTTGCGCTGTATCATAAAATCGCGCGAAAACATCTTTCTGAATTATTTGATGAACAGTTAACTACGACTTGATTGGTCGTCTTGGCGTCAACCCAACATGTTGCTAAGAGGCGCAATCAGATAACTTCAGACCAAAAAAATATGGCTCAATCGTAAAATCATAAAATCCATAAGTAGAATGTAGGAACTGTGAAGCCCGGACTAAAGCACCCGCAAGCTATACTTGTAGTGCATAGCTATATTATCCGCTAAACGGAAGAGACACCGCTTCACTTACGTTTTATGTTCTGAGCTATTTGAAGCATTATTGACAGAGTTCTCCCACAATCACTTCTTCTCGAATTTTCAGATCACGTACATCGCATTATTACAACTGTATTATTGCTGGGGAGCTAACAGTGATTAAGTTGTTGCTAAATAAAGCCTTGAATGATATTAACTCTTCAAAATAGAAAATTAACAGCAATATATATGTATATATATATTAAATAGTGGAATATGTAGTGTTCATCGGTAACTCTCAAGAGAAATAAAAAAAATCCTCGTTTTTTGTTACTTGTTATTGTTGTTGCTTGCCTTTGAAGACGAAGCAGTGAAAACACGTACATCATAATAAATACATAACGTTTCAATATATAAACGGCTAAAAACATCGCAAGCGGTCATACTAGCATTAATCGGTTTGGAACCTAGACCAGTTCATGAAGTGTCTCCTACGTTTAGTAGGCAAACACGTTATTATTGCACTATCTGTAACTCTAAACACTAATTTGCGCCAAAAGAGCCGCGTATACTTTCACAGATAACAGCTAGCCGCTATTGCCGCAGTACAGCTGCTGACTGGATGGCTGCTAAAATCTTGCGGCACAGGCTACGGGATCAAAAAAAGTTTTCGATCATTTTAAAAAAACAGTCACTTGATAGCTGGACAAAGTATGATTGAAGCAACCTTCTCCAGACTGTCCGAAGACTTTTGTCTTATTCCGTATAGGATAACCGTTCGCCACCGCGGGCGCTTCCGTATTTTCCCAAATAACGCTCCAACATCCACAAAAACGACATGGAAAGAACAAGACGGAGCGGCTACGCGCTGTGTCGCGGTGCCGGGCGTCGACTCAGAACCACCAAGTTTACGCGACTCATTAAGGTCGATAATTTCGCCGTCGATGCTAAATATGGATACACACAGCTCTAGTAGTGGCCTTTGGGTTTGACACTCGATGAACAGGCTTGAAGATTGCGTAACCACGTCCGTGGGTTCGAAGCTGTGACCTCTAGAACCTAACTAATGGTAACGTGGTCGAAGAAGGAGGCGGGCTATGAACTCTCCTATCTACGGCTATTACCATACCTATAGAAACGGAAAAATCTATAAACGTGTACTGTGACTGTTCCAACAAAGTTGTTCATCTGTAGTATATCTAGTTAATGAACAGATGTAGATGTGAACTTGAAGACCGTAACATCCCCGCCCATTCAATGACAGAGTGAAAACTTTGTTGAATTGGCCGACTAGTTGAATCTTCCTCTATCCATAGACAGTGGTCGTTAATGGGTTGAATAGGAGCACATGCTTTTATTATAGTTAGTGCAACGAAACGTCACCAAATTGATCGTTATTCTAAGAAAACGAAATAAAATGTCTACAAAGTGAAACGTTTTTACGATTTACAATTGCGGTGCATAAACGTCGCTTTTAAACAGTAAAAGTTGCACTATCTTTGGTACTCATATGCGCTATAAAATGATAATAGTATTTTTTTTTTTTTCACTTGCCTATATGTATAGTTTTTATATAAAAATAGATCTAAACCATACGAAGAAATGGGATTGATCATCGTCGTTGGATTAAGGTACCTCGAGTGATATATGGTATATGTTAGTTTATTTAATTGTCTTTGGAATAAAATGAACCAGTAATCAATTTTTTAATAGGAACGAAATACGGAACGCGGATTCTGGTATGAAGCACGCTGTGCCGAACGCTTTATTTTGATGACTTCTCGTGGCCAGCTTGTGATTGTTTTGTTATACGATTCGTCTTAACGCCATTAGGCCGCATTGCCACATCCATTTCTTTTGCATTCTAGGCCTACCCAAAAATGCACGCAGAAGAATCTTCCATTAAATCCGAGTAATCCGTTTGATTTCTTTGCCTATACGACTGTCGACGAGATTACCCATGATAGTTTAAACGCGTTCATAACTTACGATTAAGGTTCGGTTACGAGGCGGAAAGAAGATGATGAAGATTCTCAGCCATACGTTACAGTGAATATGTTGAAAAAACGGGACAGTAGATCGCTAAAGCATCGATTCGATATGTCTACGAGTCTTTTTTTTGCGGACCATGCGGACCTGATGCAGTACGATACGTGCTTTAAAGTTATGCGGTCCATCAATATCGTCCTAAAAAATTACCCTATAGATACAGGCGATTAGGGCATTGACTTTTTAATTAAAATTAATTACTGCTTAACTAACATATATTCATTAGGTTTAATATGTTTTAATCCCATGATCCACTTACGTTCTTTAGGTCCAAGGTTCTATAGTCTTTCATTATGTCGTCTTCGGCATGTTGGTTCACGTGAGTCTTTATTTCTCCTCGTTGTTGGCCTTCATCGTTAGGGCAATGTCGGTCTTTGCTGACGTCTACAAGCGCAAAAATAAAGTAGATCCTAGTGGAATCATTTTGAAGAACATTTTCATCTCGCATCACCTCGCTTACTGTATTACTAATCTGGTCATCGTTTTTAAGGATCTGGTACGTCTGAGATCAGAAGAAATTGCCTTTTCCATACAGCGTTCCGATTTGTATGAGGCTCTTTGTAGGTGGGCTTCATACAAAGTTTGAAAAATGAACAATATCTTAAATAAGAAAAATGTGTTTTATCGCCCGTTACAAAGCAAATGAGGTAGACTAACAGTTCGTATAATGTTTTGACAGATTCCGGTCTGCGAAGCCGAGTGAATATATATTTTAGACTCTGACACCTCGGATACCCAAAAGGTTTATAGAATGACAACCAGTTGTTGCGTAGCCAACAAAAGATTCCTTACTCCACTGTGCACATTGTGTTACTAGCGAATATCCGATTAATATTATTATATTAAGTTCTAAAATTATGCTTGCGAAAATTTTCCTAGTTTATCTTTTACAAAACACTCACAATCTCACTCAGAGTAAATACAAAAGCTTTAAAACCTAAGTGAGTGGTTTATTTCGGGAGCTAGGTTTCAATATTTAGACGAGACTCTAGTTTTTCCTTTTTAAACTTTCTTATAACAACATAATGCATTTTGACTTGACTGGGAAATAACCGAGCTTCCCAAGCGCACTAGTCTATTTTTGCATTGTTAATAGAGATATATCTATTCTGGTTTCACCACCTGAGCTATTCCTTATCTGGATTTGTATTAAAACCAATTGTTGTTTATGATAAAAGGCTATATGCTGCTGGCGAATCTAATTTGGAATCGTTCTGCTGACGCAATGTGCTAAGAACGGATCCAAGTAAGCCAGACAAAACTCCATGTTGAATAATTCGTGAATCGTGGAACCCTGTAGTGGTTCGTAGACAAGGTAAAAATACTGCAGCTGTAGGCTATGTCTGTTCAAAACACTAATATTTCACATTATGTGCCATTTTACAAAGCTCATAGTTTACCCCGTTACCTCTAAATAATTTTATTAGGGTACATATTAGAGCTAGTTAACAGTATTGGGACAAAATGTGTTGGAATAGAATATTAAAACGTCACCTAAAGCGTGGACCTTGGCCACGTAGACCGATGCCTTACTTCTAGGTTCACTAGGGCTGGGTGTGACCTAGAATGGCTTGAGCAGAATATTTTTTGCTAAGAATAAAAGTAAGCGCGGAAAGGCTTAGAAGGTAGTTCATCGGCTGATCTTTCGCACTAATAATTGTTGTGAACCTAATCATAGCTGAATGCAAGTAACGACGGTACACAAGACCAAATGCTTCTATATATAATATATAAAAATATATATAAAATTCTAATATATATAAAATTACGGTGCGGAACTAGTGCAAGTTAATAAACGTTTTATTGCAATACTAACCTGGTTACGGACTTATAATCCTCGAAATAATTTCGTTACACTGGTAAACTCCTTGACATTATTCTAGTGCTATTACTCTATTATGATAACTTCAGATTACTTTCTAACGAGGTCATTTATTATCGACATCAGAGAGGATCTGCATATATACAATGTTTTCAGAAAAAAAAACTGTGTTACAGTCAGAGCAGACGGTAACTAACTACTTATGCAGTGTGTTACATTATGTTATGTGTTATAATAAGCGCCAAACAAGGAATTGCCTTAATACACGCCGATAGGATCAGATGTCTAAACAATTTACAGCAGTGAAGGCTGATGGAAGTGATTGCAAGTCGAGTACCGTACGTAAACACTGTGTAAGATATAAAAAGTTTTCTTACAATAAAAATTAGGTTTTTGAGTGATTGTCCTACAACGAGCTACCTATGATCTGAGGAACAGATACATTTTCTGCTGTTTTCGGACCAATCGATACGCTGTTATTATATCGACTTTTAACGACTACCTAGAATATTGTATCGATCACTAGCTAAATATTTTGACTACAATAAGCCAATCAATCAAAGTATGTACATATCTATTAATTGAATCCTACGGTAACTGGGGAATTGACATTAATTTTGGTTAAAACAACATCGCGCTAACGAATTGCGTAGAATAAAAATAAAAAAAAAAAAGATGTACATATCTTATATCCAATTAAAACCAATGCTTCATTTTATTACAGGTAAAAAGAAAAAGTATGAAGACGCTATGGGCAGCGCGCAAACAGTAAAAAATTATATTTTCTGTCGTTTTCGAAATCGTAGTTAACATTCGTTTAAGTCAGTGAAAGCGCTCCATATAAGTAACTTATCTTAATAAGTTATCTTGACAAAATGATATCACTGAGACAATGCGTCGAATATTCCAGAATGGCGCGCGTATATTTGAGTGTTGAATGTAATCATCAAGTGTAATTCGAATACTAGTTTACTTTGTGAACAACGTTTACAGCAGAGACAGAATATTAAAAGGCGATGTTTAGCTTCTCCGGTCCTTACCATTATACCGCATTTTAACCACGTATGTACAATAATGGCGGAATCCTAGGTTTTTTCCAGTGCTTCATTTCACCACTGCCATTGATCAGCTGTTTCTTTCTTCTTTGTAACTTGGAGCCCCTGAGATTCGCGCACTGTCATTGGACTTTGCTAGCTGCATGCATTTTAAATCGCTTACTTTTTGTGGGTATGGCAATATTTTTTAATAATATTAGTACGCCTAAGACACAGTCTAAGGAAAATTTACCTATGTATGTACTTCAATGCAATTGGATAAAAAGTGCCTAAAAATGTATACACTTGTATATCACACAACCAAATCTGTCTTCTCTTTTTTCTCATAAAAATCATTGCATTATAGCCAGGAATAGAAAAAAGAGCGTCGAAGTATGAGGCACGTTGCTGGAAATCTCTCTAGTTTAAATTTTATAAATTCGTCAGCCTTTTTCGATACAGCGATTTCATAACGAGATATTGGAACCTTTTAAATAAACTTTTTCTAAATAAATTCTCCAAGCAAAAAAATGTTCCCAGTAGCGTCGGAGGAAAAGAGTCTATTTTTAAATTTCTTCTAATATATAGATATTTCTCCATGAACTAATTTCCACCACTGTACAAGGGCTAGCTTTTCAGAGGAAACGTTAAGAGTAACGTCTTTTTAGTTATCGCATCATTACGCACGCACTTAGATACTGATCAATACCAACGGCAATAATAACGGTACTCTCTGCTATACACGATATCTATAGACAATCCTGCGTCCTCATTATCGACTTCACGGATGCGGACAAGTAGACAAAGGCTTGCTCAGTCTGCCATTGTTTTGTTGCCTCCCGGACACATACTCCAGCCATTCATTAACAAAAATCATTTTTAGCCGAAGTCATGTCCCTATCGCATTTAGCTCCCCTGTACGACTGCACTACCTAAACAGTCCGTTGTATCGTAAACGGTAGCCCGAAGTCTTCAAGCGAGGTATCCAGCACGCGATGATTTTCGATGCTCTCGTCTGCTTCGTGGTCGCTGTTGCCTGCCGAAGCCCACGGCACGATTCGTCCACCTAATTCGCTCTCAATACTATTATGGTTACCATGGCTATCCTGAGCGAAGGAAAAGATATCTGATGACGCTTTTTGGTCAAATGAATCATCCAGGTCCTGTCGGGGCTGACATTGCACCTCGATTAGGTCATCGTTGAGGTTTAATTGGCACCTTTGCTGGCGCTGCTGGTGTAATCTTCCTTCAGCACAATGCGACTTTTGCGGTCGACAGTAATTTTGCCTCTGGATAACGAGGACCTTCTGTAGCTGGACGATGTAGTCGATCGCCGAACGCAGTGTTTCTACCTTGGACATTTTGCGATTAGCCACCGCATCCGGGAGACGCTCGCGAAGCGAGGCAAAACCTTGGTTCACCTGATGAACTCGCTTGCGTTCGCGCTCATTACGACGCTGCACTGAGCTAACAAAGGGGGAGTCGAGTCTCTTGGATTTTACCATGGCCTTTGTGACTTATTATCAGCACCTTTCTTTATAAAGGAAAGGATGGATAACGCCGAGCAGTTTTTTCTCTCACACACAGGTCCGCAGACAAACAGATGTGTCTTTTTGGGTCCGGCACCGCCGCTGATAAAGGCGTGTGCAATGGGAACAAATCGCACTATATCGATTAATCAGACGGCCACTGGCGAGCACGGTTCAAACAGCGTTTGATCTTAAGTCCTAGTTGAGGTCGTTATTAGGTTGCGCGCGGTGTCAATGTAACCAAAATCGATTTGAAAGTACTGCCTAGCAGTCGACTCTCTTAAGTTCACGCAGTGCAATGTCATTCCTTAGTTGCGTTTACGCACGCACTCTGCCATATACCACCTAGATAGTTTTAAGTACAGTATTAACTGGACACTTTGTGCAGCGTCGTTGAACGCTTCACATAGGAGACTATTCCTACGCAGTCGAGGATACGAATATCCTCCTTTACACTGTTACTATAATCTGTTGTTGCTACTTTTTTCACCGTTTTCTGGAGCTCTACTCAACCTCTTGTGAAAGTGTCCATAAGGCAGGGATGCTTTTATCAGCGTACTTCACTTTGTCCGTCTTTCTCTCTACCTTCCCTCATGGTACCGTATCATCAAAGCGCCATTCGAGGCGTTCACCGCGCACTGTCCTATGGGAAAGGGCACCGCCGTAGTAGTCTCAAGCCGTAGGAAGCAGTGCGTCGTCGTCATCGTGCCATTTGCTCCCACGGTGACAAACCGAAGACCGGACGTCGAAATTCGTCTTCATGCGACGGCCAACAGCACGAACGGCCGAGAAAAAGGGGGAAAAAGATGGAAGACCTTCACCGTGGGCTGAGTGTAGGACGAGCCTTACTCGTGAATGTATTAAGTGAACCGAATAAACGTAAAGTATTAACGATCGGTTATTTTCAGCGGCTGCTGTAGTTGTAGTATTCGTAGTAACATCTTCGTGCAGGATGTACGTTCCGATCCCTGTCTGGGAGCGAGGGCTTGTTTCGCTATTGTTTGGCTTTTTGGGGCGCAGCAAAACCATCCAGGACCACAGACTCAGCAACAAGGGCCTATAAGAGTTGGCCTGCGCGTACAAAGGCAGAGAAGAAAGACGTTTGCTATTTTGTCTATTGGTCGATGCCCAATGAACAAGCTCTTATAATCGGAAAACACTGTTGGTGGATATCGATTAAGAAATGGGACTGTAATATGGAACATAATGGGATTTTCGATATTTTAAGGCGATTATCTATTGACCTGCGTGCAATACGGCCGCCAGTAATAGACTCAGATACGATATCGCGCAGGTGCAGGTTTTTATTCTTAAAATTTGCTACTACGTTTAAAGCATACTAATCAAATAGCGAAAAAAACGACATTAAAGACGAAGGAAGTAGCTGGACAACGTTTGTCTCGCACTATAGCTGCAGTTTTTCATTTCTCACCTTCCATATACGCTGCTATGATGTTAACAAACATTTGTTATTTGTGGTCCCTCTATCGCATAAACAAAATTATACACACAGGCCAAAATTTCCCTTTGCCAGCACCAAGCTGTAAGTAACGACGCACTCTGTCCAAACACTGCTTTCATTTACATAATACCTACTATATGTGGGTCAATTACACAGTTTGCCTGTTTAGACGCTGCTGCCTCGACCACTCGAAATCAGCATCGGAACTTTGATGAAACGTCCTGGACGAGAAGGCAGCGGTAATTCTACCAATGAAAGTTTATACGGGGTGAGGGAACAGTGGACTTGCAGCGCAGAAAGACCTCAAGAAAAATCGCCAAGAACAAAAACAGATACCTGAGACAATTAGGAAAAATTGAAGTTTCCGCTTCGGCAAAAACTTATGGTTGAACCGGCATGCGTTTCAACTGGGAACTCACTTCTGCCCATTTGAAAGGTTATCTTTTTTTATTTCTAGACCTGCGTTATTCCCATTGTCGGTCTACTTTTGTCCCACTGTGTGTGTAATATATAACTACCTCGATTCATTCGTTACCAACGCTCACGACGACATCAATCGTTCAGATAATTATAAATAAACATTACTTTTACTTGCTTTTGATTAGCCCTGACCGATCAATCCCGATACGATTAAGTGTTCGACCATTCATTTAAATGTAATTTATTGCAAAATAGCTACAAGCACGTTCAGTAAATTTGTCCATTGGTATATAGGCACTGCTGCTGCCCGTGCTACTGTCTCCGGAAAGTCTACCGCAGTAACCGAGTCTGCAGTTGGGCTGCTTCGAGGGAAAGATCGGGACGGCAACCTATTTTCTGGGGCCTATTGCCGATAGACCGAAGTCGCTTGCTGCGGATAGCAATGGTACAGTACGGCAACGAGGGAGCAGGCGAATACGAAAATACTGCACATCTCTCAGACCAGGCCAAGGCTCAGCGCCTAGAATACGAAGAGGCGTATCTGCGACGACAGTCTGCGTTCTGCAATCAGTTGTACCTAGGACGATATCTGCTTTTACTACAGTAAGCAGCTTTTTCCGCAGTTTTTAATAGTCTCTTTGTGTTTTGTTGTATTATACGTTTATCGCAGATCATAGATCATCCGTCCAGCACGATACCATGCATACATAGAGTGTGTTGCAGATAATGGTGGCACAGCGGGCATTCTGGCAAGTAGATGTTCGACTGACCTGTCTCTGATAGTGATTTGGGCCGTGGGAAAATTTTGCAAAATGAACGAAACGTGGTGGTTAATCTGGAAAATTTTAAATGGAGAAGGTGGTTGCTGCAATACGGCGTGTCGTGCTTAGATCGATACTTAGTTCGTGTTACTTATGTGAAGGAAACATGGGCTGTAAATAAGAGATAGAGAACCATTTTTGAAAATGGATTATGACCAATAGACAATGATTGTTTATTTTTCTTTCAATCTGAACGTCTGATGAAAACTGGAGAAAGGGTAAATAGCTCATTGTTTTCGATAAACTGTTAGCGTTCATTTAAGGTAACGGGAGATGGTAATTTTTATATAAATAAGACTCTTTTCTTAAACAATGTAGTGAAATAAGATAATTTCGTTAACCTATATTGAAGCTACTCAGATTGGAAAGTTAGCTTAACGTTTATACTATTTAGCATACCAAAAAAACAAACGTTATTCTGCCGTAATTGTGCCTTAGTAATATTGTGTAGTGAGTTTTGATAGGAACAAGAGCTGTGATTGTATGTAAATGGTAAATTGGAAAGTATGTATACACATATTAAACTTATAGATTATTATTATATAGATAGAACGTTTCTCACAGTTATCGAAGTGTACGATACAGATTCATTAACGTAGGAATTATCGATCTACCTTATTGATGCCGTTCATGAAGTGTCTTGCGTTTTAATCACGTGGACGGTAAGTAAAGCACAAATGCTAATCTGATTTACCTCTGATATCTTTGTAATACGATAAGAGTTGTTAGGTAAGAAACAACAAATAATATTCTAGTTCGTTGAAGAAAATCCACTTAGAATAGATCTAGTACGCGGCGACTTCGTCGGGTCGAATTTTAAGTTGAAGGGCGACAAGTTAAGAACACAAACTATTACAGATGTGTAAGATTTGTGCACGCTTTCAGTGCGCCGCTGGTGTAGTGGTATCATGCGCGATTCCCATTTTTGTGACGCAAAGGTGATCTCCGGACGGCACCGTCAATTTTATCGATATTTCGACAAATCTCTAGCTCTCAAACTTTCACGATGGAAAAACATAATCAGATTGTAACAGATTGAAACATAAAATAACCAGATGAGTAGTCGGGATTAATAAGAGTTAGTCAGCTAATAGATGTTCGAAACGCTAATTATTAAAATGGGTGGCCAGAATCCTCCCCTTATTTCGACGTCAACCCACAATCGTGAAGCAGTTGTGAGTTCTTCAAATTGTTAATAGTTACTGCTAATATATTGGAAAATACTTCATAGAAGTACCAGGTACTTTTTTTAAATTGGGTATTATAATATAATAATGACTGCTTTTTCCGCTTTGTTGACTTGTAAACTTGTTTTCAAGATAAAGCCAACGCTGTACGTACGCCAAAAGACTCTACTGATATCTAGCAGTAATCCATTCTCCACTCACAAACTGTAGTTAAAGCACAAACCGACCTATATAGTGATAAACTTGAATAGACTGGCTAAAAATGAACTACTACAAATAGTAGGACAGTTATCTCTAGAAGATCGAAACATGCGAATACTTCTATCTGTAATGATAACCAGGCACGATGTCATATCATTCGGTAAACCAAACGAACTTCCTCTCGGAATCGATAAGAATGAGATATTTCATCTAATAGCAAATGATCCTATCAGATTGTGAACTCTTTGAACAGACTGTGAAACTGTTATACCACTATTCTTTATAGCTATTTATCATTCTATTGTCGATAATAAAGTAATAAATACATATGTACATAACATAAATAACAAACATATATTCAAAAAAACTATCATGCTCAAAGAGGTTGTATGTATGCAAGGTTTACCGCATCATCCGTAACATTTACTGTAGTCCATTGGTTCTTTACGTTGTTCGATGTTTTTGAATTCCTTATTACCTTTAAAAAAAAATCACTATTTGGGGTCTTTTCCAAGCGAGACATAAGTCAACGCTCTCGAAGTTATTGCTAATGAGCTACTTTTTCTAACAGAGAAGATTCTCAAGTGAATTTAGTCCTACTATTATCTACTCAATACATATAAATTTCAATTGCATCAAACTGTCTATACTATTGATTAATGGTATCGATTAATAGGTTTCTTTCAATGAACTATTTGGTCACTTCACTATTAGGAGAAATGGGTCGCTGCTTCTTCGACCGTTTCGGGACTGTTAGCACTTATTTTTTTGGGCCTGGATTTTGATAAAACATAGCTCTAGCCGAACAATCAGTGTGACTTACTCGAAGTCCGTTGAAAACACTAATGATTTTCAGCGTTTTAAGGCTAATCTGCTTCATGGTTGCTTACTCTTACTCGTATCCAGCAAGGACGACCAAGCACGTTCCCCCCAAAGCGCAATTTACGACAAATAGATTTCGCCTGTTTACGTGCCTGCACAGATAAAGCTGCGTACGTAAATTAGAGTACATAGCAGACAAAAACATGCGTATTTTGCCTGCGCAATAAATTTATATTCATGCATAAATAACGACTTTGTGTAATGCTGCCGACACAGCAGTACTCTTAGGGTCATTGTGTTCTTCAGAGGAAACCCTGATATGAAATGGTTCATGATAAGGACGAAACATTTTATGTACAGAGTCTTCACTCGTCCTACTGAGCCGTCAACGATGGAATGTCTGACAAATGAAGTGTTAAGTCATGTGTTTTTCTATAGGCAAATGTGTCTTAAATTTAATTTAAATTTCCACTCACAGTGCTAACCAACTCCTGTTATTTCGGTGGTAATCTATTTATCCCGCTATTCAAAAACCCTAAGGCATGCAACATGATAAAGTGAGTTTTTTTCTTTTTCAGTCTTTTGATGGCTAAGATATTTTCTAAAAATTCTACGTAAAAGCCAACAAGTGAACGAACGACGTAGGCAAAGCGCAATTAATTTCATAGTAAGTCAGTGCATAGACTTACTATTTTTTTGCTTACTAACTTAGCCTATATTTTGCTTACCTGGTTATTGCCATCATTCAATTTTCGATAAAAACAAGAGGAAGATTACTCAAAAAACTATACCGATTCCCAAGGCATCAGGCGCCGTCTTTATTCGCCTGTGAATGAGACATCGATGATTGCTATAGTAACGTGCGTACGTTCATTGAGAACGGTCCGGGTGACTCGCCAATTTGGTATAAACGGCCGTTGAGACAGCGTGCTCAGAAGATAAGCCACTGACCTGCCCCTCAGCTCTGTCCCTCTCTTTTGAAATACTGTGCTAAGGAGTAAAAACGTCGTTCTTTTACAAGTGAAGCAAAATCATAAAAAAAAAAGTTAAGTTTTCGAGCTACATGTGCTTGTCAAATAGCCGTCTGGATGTTTATAATTTTTCGCATAAGTGTCTGAAATACAAACTAGACTTGTCGATATGAAAGACAGTGTTAGTGCTCAAATAGAAAGTGTCTTATTTAAATAAATATTATATATCAAAATATTAAATCTATCGTATAGTGAGGCATCTCCGCAGTTAGCGTTTCAAAAGACAAACAATAATGAGGAGTTTTATAATATCATTATATTTGTTTTGCGTCATGTGCAGACAAACTGAGACTCTTTAATTTCTCATAATAACAGAAGTCCCTCAAACACCGTTTCCGTGCTGCATACCAACCTCGTATAATAAGTAGCTATTCCAGTTGTACCTAAACTCTACCTCGATGTTATAACAATATGATAATTATATTGAAAAACACTCTGTGCAGTATAACACTTCATTTATTATCAGCTCGGCGAGAACTTGAGTTTATCAAAACTGCAGTTCCATAAGTAAACCACAATTTTTATTGACTTATGTTACTGTTTTCTACCTCATTTGTGTATGATAGCCGCAGCAGACCCAGATAAATCAATTGAACTTCTATTTATCCCTATAAGTGTTTACAACACTATGTGTTATCTACGGCTGTCTATCGCCGCCTCTGCCTCTCCGTGATAGCGCAATGTCAGCGTGGTTACGTATTAAACTAAGGCCCATTAAGGGCGATTATCTAGGCTCAAAGTCGGGTTTAGACATGCTGCATTTCGCATTGGGTGAAGCCGGTTGTCTATAATAATGCTGAATTAAAGTACACAACCTAAAGCTCGAAACATTTATTTTTAATTTTTGTCTTGTAATTTCTAATGGATTGCGTTTTACCTTTCAGGTTAGATGGCCTGACTAGATTTAGCATTGTGAGCTAACTTCGTTCTTCTTTGCTTCTCCGTTTGCGTAGGTTTTTTGTTTAAGACGTGCTCTTGTCATCGATTCTGCTCGACAGTCAATGGTCACCGGGCAATGACAGCTAAAAGCCAAGATCTCTTCCTAACGCGGTTGTTCGCTAGTTTGATAAAACAGCAGCACTGACGAAAGCAACAACTGGGGTCGAATCGCGCATTCGTTCGCTGCCTGTTTCACTTCGGCAGTTACTTCAGGTGGCTGCCGCGGATCCTCCATTACCTGCAGTAGTCATCCGTTGTTTGTGTGTTTGGCTGACTAAATCTTTTGCCCGGGTAACCGTGGGAACCAAGAAAGTCTCGTCGTCAAAGGCGCCGGAGGGTCAGCGCCATATAAGGCGAATTGGGCCTGAATTACGTTTTGAGCGATGAGATAGCGCCACTGTGACTGGTTTCTCTGCGCGCTTACTATGAAGATCTTTTGCAGCTGAAGGACTGAGGGACGTGCTGGAGGTAGTCGGTAGGTTGGGTCGAACGAAATGCCTTTGCCGATGGACGATTTGGAACGCTGTCTTCACAAACGGTGAAGTAAGTACCTATTAGAAGAGAACATAGAGAAAAAAAACGAGCAGTGACAATTAATTGATGCGTACACAAGATGAAAAGGTGATATCTTTGCAGTCCTGTACGATAAGATATGACAAATCTCATCTCGTGTAGCTAGTGCTATTTCTGTTAAATATTAGCATCGTTCTAAGGGAAGCCCATTAGGAGTGCACGAATCGTTTCCGCTGCGCACTTGAAGAAACTAAGGACGGATAAGGGGGTTTGCTCTCCGCGATCCTGTGCGAATCGAAAGAATCGCGACTGGATTCGGTCTTCGTACCAAAGCCATCCGATATCCTAGTGTAACATTAGCGTGAGTTCTGCCCATATACGCGTATCTGGAGATTGGTTTATCCTTAATGACACTTCTATGCATGTATGTACTTTACGTGCGCGTGGACTAGGGGCTAGACTCTATCGTTGTGTAGAAAGAAGCCTAGCGCTGACGTTTCTCGCTAAATGAGGGCTAGCACACCATCGTAAGGACGCTGTTACTTTTGACATCAGTCACGTTAGAGATTCGATTTAGCTTCTACGAATTCGACTTGACAGAGAATGCGAGTTAGGACGAACAGTTGAATGATCTATGCATAAATTATTCACACAAATCCAATGGAGTACCTTGCTAGTCATATGCTGTATTAACTCAGTCAATCACCTTTGTCGTTAACGTAAGATAGATGTAATGCGTTCATAAATTATAGTGAGATAATTGCAGTAAAATAACAGATGAATTATGGATCTTGTCTAGCAATCCAACAGTCCTCGAAAGAGCGTAACTATTCTTCCAGCGATACATTGGTTTCCAATTTATCTCCTCTTTATTTAAACTAGGTATAACTATGTACATAAAGCCGTTATATATATATATGTGTGTATAGATAATAATTTATATATATATATATATATATATATATATATATATATATATATATAAAGCCGTAAACAGGTGGCTAATCATACTTTATTCGCTGTTAAATATTATATCTCCTTCTACAGTAAGTACATGTTTGTGTTAAGGTAAAGCACAGAAAAACAATCCATATCATCTGTGCTACTAATGTACAATGCGTATATACACACACACATACATTGTACTGTATATGTATTGTGTGTATATCTGTCTGTGTATATTATAGCTATCAGGTACATGAAAATGAGCGGGTACTTCGCCAAGCACCTGACGCGCCGCTTTGATTCTCTCTTACCTTACTGGCATGTACACTAGTAGAATACATTCTTAGTAGCACCATAACACTACACCGTGGGAAATCACCTAAAAGTACGTAAGCGCCGTACGCCATTAATGAATATCGAGATGCGAGGGGTTCGTCAAATTCGGGTCCGTGGCATTAGAAGTAATAGTGAAGAAATACTGAGCCATGTTAATGCGTACTGCCCCATGCTTTCGGATATGACTGTTCCTGAAGGACGTACCGCAAGTGAAAATTGTCGTGTCCGATGCGAGGATAGGCATGTTTGTCGCTATGGGAAAGAATCATACAAAATAAATAAAAATTTAGGATTTTATATGCCATAATAAGGCGTAAATAAATTAGGTTTTTTGCAACAGCACTTTGTGAGCTCTTGTTCTCTAAAAGTTGAAAAATTTCCTTATTGAGTAAAACTCCCTAGCGTGTACTTACCGGATTTATTACTCGGATTATTACGGATTACAATTAGGACACATTTAAAGGGATCTTGTGTCGATTAGAGTAGCATAATGATATCATTATTGAGTCCAGCTCTTTTCCAATTTTCATAACCAGAAGATTTCCAGAAAATAACATTTAGTAACCAGTTTCTAGATGTTGTCTTCTGCAAGAACTTCAAGCATTTTTTTTTATGATTCCGTCAATGAAATGTTAAAAAACCTCTAAAAAATTGCTCACTTACTCGTTTACCAACACGGGCTACTTACTTCTTTCGCTGCGCTTTTAAACGAGAGCTGAGCCACAAAAAGAAAACCACGAATATCATAAAAATACTGTTTCGAACTAATAAGCTTTGGTTTTATGAGTCATTCTACTCTAATTTTACTTTCCTTATTTACGGCAACGACGCAGTAGCAGCCATTAGGATGACAACATCGGGGACTTCAGGCATACACTATACACGTGAAGTTCATCGCCGGGCCTTCACCGCCAAATGAAGCTTAACGCACAGGTGGCTTCCTCCAAACACCAGATACTTGGTAGCGCTCGTTTGCCAGGCACGAAATAGCATGACTAAATCTGGTTTGAACGGATACGACAAAGTTACGGGATTGAGTAGTGGTCACGGAAGCCTCCCGAAAGCGGCCATAGCTGTAACAGAGCACAGCGCATGCTAACAACGCCAATAACCCCAACAACAACGAGAACACAACTACGGTGCCACCGACAGAACGCTTTACCGCTGACGAACAAAAGCGACGAGGGTCGCTGCTGGTCCTAGTAAAGGGCAAGTCCTACATGCTCAAAATGAGTCAACAGTGGAATAAACGCCATGGTATGCTACTGGTACGGATGATGGGTAGCGTCAGAATCCTCATTTTGGCAACTGTGACGACGGCCGCTACGATATTAGGCTACTAGTCCGTACCAGTGGGCAGAATCGGGGTAATAGTCCTAAGAACAGTAACAAACTAAGGAGCAGGCCTAAAAACGAAAGTACGGCTATCGCCATTCTTGGCCGAAATTAGACTGTCATTTGCAATCCGCTATCACCTTTTGGTGTGACAGTCTCCTTCCGTTCGACCCGATGGCTGTCTGGGTCTATTCAGTTGCTATTGTGACACCATCTCAGCAGTGACTTCGCGAATCTTGATCCTCTGAATGCACGATGTAGTTGTTGATGCGTGCTTGACTACTAAGTGGCTCAGTACAATCAAACGCACCTCGATACTGCCGATGTTGTGTAAGACTGCTGTTGACAAAGGTGTCTACAGCCATTCAGCCTTCAATTCACCCTTCAATTACTTGCGTTTCCTTGGTCGCTTGGTCTGCTGACGCAGCCCGTCATCAGCACGGACTGACAACAAGAACGATGGCGGCAGCGACGACAACAATACCAGCCTCTGACTGGCCAATAATGAGCATTGAGATCGTCAGGATCCGAATGTCCCTGAACCAATTTTCGAACAAGTGATTCTCCTTCGTTGGTCTCTTTATACAGCCGAAATACGTTCGAATTTCATTCGTATTGGAGCTACGCTTCGCGGTCATATAGTCTAATCCCATACTTGCTTATTTTATTTTATTCCGCCAGCGTTTTTCATTCCCAATTCAGCAGCCGACCTTTACGAGGCACCGCAGTTGCGTAGCATCGCATCTACTGCTTCCCTCAAGTTACAGCATGTCTGCATCTAGCAGTTCGACGGATCAGTGTAAACCATTGCTAGTCTATGATAGTACGCACGTCGGCCCCTCGAATGGCGTCAAACCAAAGAAACGTTACTGGCACAGCTGACAAGACGATGGGGCACGAAAGAAAGACTCTCTGTGGCACATTCTTCGTACAGCATCTCCATCAAAGCAGGAAACAGGTGCAGTACGACATCGCCGTCTTGCACCATGATTCGAACACGGGTGCGCGTCGACCACAAGCAATGCCAAGCAAAGGAAACACGGCCTGATGTTCAGACCTTTCTGATCAAAGCTGATCGCCTGTTTTGAATGAAAGGAAAGTCCGGTGTCGATCCGGCAGATCCGACCTATCTCCTGAGGGCGAACGTGCGCATATAGCAGATGAATGGCGACATAGCGATGCTGGTCTTAGCGATGCGGAGCCAAGATGTGTGTTCACTGCTTCCCGTTCCCAAAAGATGAGATTGGAGAAAATAAAAGGCTTGATATGAATAATATTGAGAAAACGCTATTAAGAGGCAGATTTAGTTCAGGCAAATGACAGGCTGAGCCGAAGATCCTCCGAGAGATCAATTTCTCACTACGGTGACCAATGCAATAAGAGCACCTAGAGGCTGAACACCGTTGAGAAGATGACGTTCCGTTTGTGCGACGGCGATTCTAGATAGACTAGGACGAACCGTGTCGTCGAAAATCCTTCCATTGCATCGACTACTTGGCTGTACATAGCAGACTGAATTCGAAAAAGGAAATTGCTACATTTCAGTTACTCTTCCCGTGTTGGATACGTGAAATAGTTTGAACGTATGGCGCGTAGCGAATAAATTGCACCTGAACGCCTCAACAACAATAAACAAACAATACTATTTAAAATCGACATTGGCTTTAATAGCTCTATTCTATTAATTTTAGATTGTTTTGATTTGCTTCTCGCCTGGTGCATAAGTACCGATTAAGTTAAACAATACGAAATCTGATTCACCTTTGATCAACTATTCTGCCACTGCAGCTCTCCCCCCGATCTCGTAAATTGTATGAGTCTAATCTTACTATTTGTTCAGAATTTATTTACATCATTTATTTATTTGTTACGTCACATAATTTACTTTCGGGTCCTGCATCAGATTAACCAGTACATTAGAACACACTTATTAAATCTAAAAATATATTTATCCATTTAAAGTATGTAAAGCAGACGGTGCTTATTTATTTCAGTATATAAAAACGTGCGATGTATGACAATTATCCTCCACCTATTCCAAGTACAAATAGAATACTCACATCACTATAAGGGAGAAACCCTATAATGGGAATGGTACTTAAATGCACTACGTATAAACAGGGAAACATTGCTTCTTGTTTTACCAATGAATGACTGAGAAAGTAATCCGAATATATGGACCTATTTTACGTACTTATGCTCTAGACACGACGCAATAGTCGCATAGTGGATTCCAAGATTTACCCCCTGAAAAAGGCAAGTCTTATTTACCTTTCGAGGCTTCTGGGGTTACTAATAATTTTCTATCGCTTCTTATGCGGCCTGTTTTTCTTTGACTCAGTCTGGATTGAAGAAACTATTATGATACTCAATAGTTTACAAACCGTATTTTGAGTTCGACCTCGTCACTCTGCAATTTTTCTCTCGTCTCCTCCAACCGAAATTCGGTTCTGACCTACACTTTATTTTTTACGGCGGTCCGAAAGGGAAGTCTACGAAACCATTTAGTCGCCTGCTCAAGTTGATGTTCAAATATTCCCTTCTAAAAATAACCAAGTTCCTTTTTCTTAGCGAACGCTCGCTCTTTGCTCATTGTACCACTGCTCCTGTCGTTGGAGCAGTCCAACTTACCGTATTATTAGTTCCGTCAAGTTAGGACCGCGGGGTGAGTACTACCGTTGCTTTAACCGAGAGAGGGACGGAGTCCCGCGTACGATCCTGTAGCTGCGGATGGACTTACATTGCAAGCCCATTATTCAGTTTTCTCTATCTGTGTTGTCTGTCGAATAGCGGAGTTCTAGTAGGTAGAGCAGCATCGCTGCGCGACCCACGCAGGTTGGTCTCTGGTCTTAAGCGGTTGCTTAGCCAATAGCTACCCATATCCAGCCGATGGTCTAGTTCTGCATTTTTAGCTGCCCATGCGCATTTCAACAATGTAGGAGCAAATCCTATAATGAATAGAATCAAATAATCCATCAGCCGACCGGGCACTTTCTAATAACTTCCATACTGATAGAAAGGTCTCGGATATTGGGTAGAGAGCTTAAGTTTCATCGGCATTTGATCGACAAAGCGCAGGTCACACGAAACGTTCCAAGCAGGGAGCCGTGTTTGTTACACAGGCGGTTAATATTCAGTACTACGAGGGAGCTCCGTGTTCGAGGAAAGTTCATCATGCTATTGTGACCAACGTGTTATTGTGAATCACAGCCAAAGAACAACGTTTTACAGAGGAAAGCATCTGTTAGCTCAGGTTGTGTGTTTTCAACACTGTATGCGTGAAGAAATCAAGCTTTGTTTGGTAGGGCCTTCTCTCACTTTTTGAAGGGCTGAGCCTCTAAAAAGTGGCCAGTCTCTGTCAGTGCTGCTACGAGAAAATTGTAGTTGAACCAAACAATTCAATGGATGAGTTCATCAGGCACACTAGCTAATGAATTGGTTACTCTTGGTAAAATTCTAGCGTTCGGTAAGTTGCTTTCAATGTAAAGAAAGTATGTATGTATGTATCCCAAAATCCATGTATAAACGTTACTTCAAACTTTTAACGTTGACTCTAATTAGACCAACTAAATCGTTCAAAAATCGCTTGACATGCTGGTTTTACATATTGCAATAATCTCATGAGTTTCAATTTTACCAAAAGGATAGATATTTACAATGGTAAAAATGCACTGCGTAATCCACAATGTTTCATCTACGCAAGTTTTCGGTTGTTATGTACCGTCGGCGCTACAACGTCGGCCACGGAATGAAGCTGATGCACTTCTTGTCAAGGACTCAGTCAGTTGCAATAAAAATAATGATCATTCGAATCAGAACCTATCGCTCCTAATGGTTCGACAATGGCTCAAACAGCGAGGCAAAATCTTCTAAGCGACGCCAAGTCTTGGAAATCGCTAATTCTGCTCTGCCAGCGTTTACCTATATACACTCGATGTTTGTCATTAAAACAAGATTTTAACATAATTCGATTAGTTTTCACCCGATCTTCGCAAATAATAAATTCGAAGTTTTAATTAATCGGTGAATTGGCTTTACTTGTGAAGGTTCTACATTAAAGAACTGTATTTCCAGCCCGGTTATTAGCATTTTCGTCACAAATCTAAACCTTAACAAAGCTAGTTGTCCGATCAAATACTACCCATGCATAGTGTGTTTATTGCTTTGGTTCAATGATAGTTAATTAATTTAGCTAATTAATGAGAAAAACTCGCATTTTCTAATCTCCGATATTAGTGCAACAAATTACACAAACTCTCAGTATTTGCTTCCCAACTAAGTTTGTTAAATAAGGCAAGTGAAACAGGACCTGGCCTACTGCAATTATTTCGACTTACAATGACTAATATTGGGGTGGTTAAACAAATCTTCAGTCCGTCAGGAACTCTTGAGGTAATCTACAGATTTAGTTGGACTTTCAGTTTTACATAGAATTGCATAATTCTCAAATAGTTTCGTAAATCTATATTTTTTATAATTTTTTCCCCCATATTTATTTTACAGTACGAAGATGATAGACCGCGCGACGAGTGTTAACGCTCGACAAACGGAAATGTGTAAACAATATGTGAGCTTAACGCTTGTCCATACAATACACTCAGCTAGTTCAGCTAATTCAAAAGTAACGGTCTATGTTCTCTTCTCTTGTTTGATTTTCAGAGATGTAATTATGTAATTGACCAAACCGTCCATTGCCCCGCGCCCATTCCCGGCATCGGGGGCAATTTGGACATCATACATACCATCGTATCACGTTCACAAAGCTAAGTCGATGACGACCCAGCACTTGAAAAGTCCAACGGCCAATGTGTTTCGAGTGGCAGATAGTCTACAGCGTTGTTGCTAAAGTAGACCTACGTCAACCCGTGACAAGAAGTACACTAGTGACCTGTACAGGGTCCACGTGCATCTGTTGCTTTTTTAGTCAAGTTTCTTAGTCACCTTCGTGCTAATTAATCCATTGTTCAACGGATCGAATTGAAAAAGAGGACAAAGCCCTATTTAATGTAACAGTCGTCACCTAACCGTCGAGTGTTTCGTCATTTAAGGACGCAAAAATGTCCGAATAATATTTTACTATATACTTCCTTTGAAGAGTTGCCGCAGACAAACTTTATGATTTTCCTATTACCCAAATTAGTTGTGCGCCAGTGACGAGGATCCGGAGCGGTGCAGGCTGCTACACGGATGTGCACCCTAGAGCCACGTATGTGGACAGCTATAGAAGAAGAAAGATGTTTAAACAACCCTTTCTGTCTTTCCAAAACAACTGTACAATGTCCGCCCATGTTCAGCAACTGCCTATAAGTAAAAGTCAGGCAGGTAACCTGTCGAAGACTTGAGTCAAAAAGATGAGCAAGTATCATCCAGAGTTGAATCGTTTCCGTACCGTCGATCAGTCATCGAGTGCTTCGAAGTCAGGTACCTTGTATCTGTTCGGTTGGATAGTTCACTAGCGGCCTACTTTGGACTCTGAGCAGTCAATCACTATGGCTGTCCTCTTCTTTCGTCGTATATCGTTGCTACTGTTAGGTACATATATATGTTTCACATGTTACTCCGGATATCTGTTACTGACGCGTGAGGATCGAACCAATGCTGGAAACAAAAATCCATCTAATGGTAAGAATAATTTGTTTACTGGTCTGTATATATAAATGTAGATCGTGTTAGTTGGTGATTGTCGCACAGGGACACATGAAGTGGTCTAGATTCGAAATCGGGAAATACTTAAAAACAGTATTAGACTCGAAACATTAATTTAGTTAGTAATTAATGTTTGTGCTTTACTTTTTTTTCAATAGAAACATTTTTAGTACGGCTAAATTCTAGTGCCAAATAATAAGAAATACGATACCAGCCAGGTCTTTTCTACAAGTAACATATTGTCGCGATAATTTTCTAAACATTTTTCTGTTTTAATATTGCAAATTATCTGTAATCTCTCCTCGTTCCGCTTTCCTAACAATCACCTCAGGAGCTGTGTCCCTGAACGGCGGGAGTTTCATGGCAGCATCATATGCTAACGGCAAAGAAACCCCCAGTAACCAGGCCGCGCTTCAGGATTTATCGAAGGTTGGAGTTGCAGTCCCTCAACGTGCCGATGCAACAGCTAACGATGAGGAATGGAATCCGTGGGGTGAAGACTTCGAACCCGAACGTAGCGAAACAGCGGGTGAAGCCCAATCAGGGAATGTGGCTCGACGAAAAACTGACGGTGCCGTAATGGCCGCTAGTGGTGATTTGGCGCCCGACAGCCGTCCGGCAAAATACATTGTTGAAGTCTGGGGAAAAGCCGCAATCGGTAGGACGAAAGTATAACACAGTGAGAAGCGATGCCTTTTTTGATGGCCTTTCTCCATTCTATAATACTTGCAAGTCATATATTAGCCTGGTCATTGCTAGCATGTGTTGAACGTCAATAACGAGCTATTTTCATCCGAAATTCGTCGTCATAACAGGTAATTACTTATGGGAACACATCTTCGCCGCTCGTCTCGAATCGCGACAGGAGGGCGCGTGGCATTTTGGCACTAAAAAAATTAGCAACATCCGTTTCAAATATCGGACAGGCCCGGGAATAGCACCGCAGACGGCTCCCAGTGATGTGCGTTCAATATAAAATACAATGTTGTTATAGTGGTAATAAAAATATTAATTCATACTTCAATCAATTATTAAACACAATCGTTTTTTTTTTCTTTATTTAAAGAAAATACCGTTGGTGTGGCTGAAGCTATCAACGCCTGACTTAATCAGCTTAAGATTCATCTTTCCAAACTCCCGTATCGGCATTACAATTCGACAACAGACAATCCAGCCATTGATCAGGATACAGCTATCTTGAGGCATGTACGAAATGCACCATTTCCACGCCACTCTTATGTTGTCGTCTAACTATGCCTGTTGTTGCCATGATACTTGCCAACTTTACCTTTCAGGTCGAGTATTTGATTCTGGTATTAAACGGTCGGAGTAAAGATAAAATCTCATTCGCTCGTCTTTGGCTCGACTATCTAGATAATTATCCGCGGTTGCAGCACTGCATCGTAATTCTTCTAGGCGACGAACAGTGTCGAAATGAATGGATAACTCGTTACATGCGCTCCAGAGGTAAACTTGAGAAGTTTCTTTCAAAAATTTCACTATCTAACCTTCTGTTTTTGTATTTTTTTTTTTCGTATAACAGCCACTAATTTATGTATCAATTTCGCAGGGGGTAAGGTGGATGCAGCTTTTATAGTCTACGATAGCGGATTGGTTGATGACCATGAATTCTTCCAGTGGCCATTAGGTAGGTTAAAACCAGTAGTCGATATCTTTATAAGCAACAGTTAAAAATTGAAATGCATACACACAACGTGTTACAGTACGTTATATTTTATCAATTTCTTCTGTACTCTGCTAACCATACCACCTGTAACCTTACCACACTGTCGCGCGTGATACAGTAGAGAAAGTTTTGTGTTAACCCTACGTTTTTTTTTATAGGCGTAGCAACTTATCGAGGCTTCAATCCGGTGGATTCACATAAACTCGACATTGAAAGTGCTCGTCCGTTTAAATGCAATTTCCTCGGAACGGTATATCCGAAATCGTCGAGGAAATCTTTAGTGGAGCTGATTCGAGTTGAAGGGCTTGAAAAGGTCATCATTATGCGTTAAACACACGCCCTGATTATTTAACACCTCAACTCGTAATTAGACACACATATGCCGTTAACGTTTACGAATATTCAAGCTATAACCAGTAAATAACGCAAAGATTTGTATAAAGTGTGAAACTTAGTATATTCAATTCTGAAATCCATTTAGCTCTTTTAAAGGTTACTTTGAGGACAACATCTAGCTAACGACAACTAGCCAGTAACAGTTATGCATATGTTAATTGATGTGAGGCTATTTGTTCCGTGTATTATGACGTCTTTTCAAAGAACTAAGTAGACATCTTACGCTAATACGCATGCGTCTAATTTCGCTATTGACATATATAGGTCTGCTTTACGAAAGGCCGAAAAGAGTGGTTATCCGGAGAAACCCAGGAAAGTTTGCAGATGTATCAATACGCCCTGTCGCTCTCGGACCTTACCCTGAACCCAGTCGGATTCAACGCGGAGTGCTATCGCATCTACGAAGCACTTGCTCTTGGATCCGTCCCTGTTATCGAAGACAAAACTACGCCGGGGCTTTGTCAGGTATCGAACAGAGTAATTTGCACTCGGATTGCTGATGACAACTTCCTCGTTGACGAACATTAATAAAAGCATGTCTAACTCTAGACATTATTAAAAGGCGGGTTTATAAATGCTCCGTTTTTGACTGGTACTTCGAGTTATTATGAAGTATTTGGTCCGCGCTGAGCTTTGTCGTTTATACCTGATCCGTGCCATCAGCAATTTAAATACCCACCTTTGCATGATGCTCTAAGGTGTCACATTGAAAATCCACTCTTCAGTACGAGTAAATACGTATTCCTCAGTTCAGTTTGTTGTAGTGCTTCATCTATTGTAATTGTCCGTATACGACTTCAGTATTTCTGGAAAACATATATCTATACCATGTTATTTACAAAAATCATGCGATTCTCCAAACGTGTGTTTGCCAAAAACGACCATGTACTATTGTTAATTACTATTTCATTTTTTCGGTAATACGTGTCATATAGTACAGATCAACAGAGAAGGCAAGTGCTTCTTATCAGCATGTGAAATCTACGACAAATCTGGATAAGAAATTAATTCGAATAATATTAAAATTGTGTCGTATTTAAAATTACCCATGGTGCCATCTTTTTTTTTTGAAAGTTTCCAGCGTTTAAAAAATATGTGTACTATTTGCATTTGACCGCGCGTATTTGTTGATTCGTGTCGTCTTTGCAGAGTCCTCCATTACGATTACTAAAAAAGTACCGTGCACCAGTGATTTATGTGAAAGACTGGGCGACCGATCTTCCTCGAATTCTTGGCCAGGAGGCCGCCCTAAGCCTTAAGGAGAAGATTGAACGACGAGTTGCCCTTGTCGAATGGTATGAAGGCTTTAAGCTGACAATGCGAAGACAGCTTACGCAGGTCGTCAGAAGCAAGTTTGGCTTCACCGACAACAATAACTAGCATACGATAGAAAAACAAATAAGGATCAACTGTAGCAAGCAAAGTCAAGCAAGTTAAACATAGGGAGAAAACTTGTCCGTTGAGAAGATAGCTAGATTTTTCTATCAAAGCATCGTAAACCGGCTCGAACGAAAGCTCCCCAAATGTGCAAATAATTTGCTGTGTAGCGTGCAATGCTGAAGAGACAAGACATTTAATTTTGGAAATATTTTTCATTCCAAGGAGATGCTTTTGGATTACGTAGGAAAAGCAGGCTTTAAATAGTAAGCGCTCTATGTAAATAGAAATAAAAAGTAAGAACTAGTAAGGAAGGAAAGTGATATTAAAACGAAGACTAAACCCTTTGCCCTGAATGAGATTGCATATCTCGGTCAGGGCAACGACTTCAGTTCGAATACTAGCGCAAAGCCAACAAATATAAAAGCCTAGATTTTAGAAGACTCCCACATTAATCATTTGCGATTTCTAGCCAACTTGCAACGTGCGCTCTATTGATTGGGTTCACATTTCTTTAGACGTATGGTGCCCGTCTACGCGAGAGCGCATTGGGTAACAAGTTTGCCTACTGATATTTGCGGCACGTGATGTAGATTCGAATCTAAGCGTGAACACACTCTGTTTCGCGCTGGGAGCAGCGCGCCGCGTGTTAACAGCTAAACTATCAGCCATAAAACACGAAAAACATCTATATGACGTCTGTATAATTTGATTAGAGGTTCGCTAGGAATAACTGTTGAAAAATGAGACAATGTTTTCGCTTATCGTTCGCGTGTGCACTCCTCCTATTAGAGCAAGTCGAATTTCCTAGAATTGTTTTGGGTTTCAATTTGCTGTTACACTACGAGGTGACGTGGTACTGTCTCTGAAAAACACGGAGTCTAATGGTGTTCATAATATAAATATTTTTTGATTGGCGTTCTAAAGTCACTTCTGTTTTTTCTTATCAAAAGACAATTTCGAACAAGTTAATTCCGATTATAGGAACTAACTAACTAACCATTTTCGCTCATACTATTTCGTAGTAAATGCGAGAGCGTGCGTACACCATACTACTAGGTTATAGATTTTCATGTGAACATCACCGTGGATGACTGCGTACAACGCTTAAAGCACCTACAATACTAATGGTAGTGTTTAAACATACAAAGTTGGAAAATTATTTTCCAATTAGAATTTATTTTTCTATTGATTGACTGCGACTGTCTTTACCAGCGCATCACAAGATGTGCCTGTACAAATGTAATTGTCAACTTTCAAATTCATTCTTAGAAATCAAATCAATATCCTAGGTAAAATTATCCTAATCATTAGTGTACACCTGATTTTCGTTAGCCGTACACATCAGTTCGTACAACCGTTTCGAAGCAATACGCAGATCGTTTAAAGCACATTCTTGCCTTAGGCCACTGTTAACCATATTTGATCGGTGCCAGAATATCATTGCACTCTTGCAGAATGGGTCCATAAATCGGGTTCATCGAGACACTTTTACCTGCATAGTGGTAGCATGGGTTGTGTAAATCCGATATCTCATTTGTTATATAGAAAAGAAGCCTGTATGCCTTTGTTGTTTAACAAACACGAAAGGATGTCCATTGAATGCATATTTGACCAATGATTTTCCACTATGAGCGTTCTCCATATTAATATTTTCCATTGTTTTTCGATCCGTACCAGACAAGTGCCGACAGACGGGCTCATAGCGCTGACTCCAATCGACTGAAAGTTAGTGGCACGCACAGACATCTTTATTTACGGAAATATCCATTTGCTTAAGCTAAATTCGATACGTGCTACATACATGCCAGTATGAAAATGTGTATTTACTTCAAGGCTGGTCCCGACAAACGAGGCGTGATCAGGCTGTTGGTGTACTTAGGTCACGAAGTACAGATCCATCAGTTTCATTGTACAGATAGGTTACACATACGAGATAGCAGCGTATATATACGTGGACACCTGTCAAGCGCTATGGGTTTAGAATGGTAGACTGCTTCCCAATGTGACCCTTTAGCGAATGGAGAAACATTTCCTGGTTATGACGATTTTCGAAAGTACACTTTCACATGATATGTCAATGAATGCTGGTGTATCATGTACTTCCACATTGTCTGGGCGACATAAAACGTAACAGGCGTCTTTAATTTCTCATAGTGATCGTCAAAGTCTGTTAAAGAGTAAAGGCTAATCATTTGATATTTGAAATGCGTGAAGCTATATATCATTGAAAATCGAGGAGTAAAGCGAGATGTATGGGAAATGCTTCAAAGTATTGGATGTATTATGTTAAAATCTAATGTACACAACAGCTAATGAACAGCCACGCATCGAGTGAATGGAAAATCGTTATCGTTATGCTGACATAAACTTTAAATATGTCAAGTAATTCTTTATAACTGTTATTTTTGTTGTTCTTCTTGACAAATTTAATTCTGAAAATATTACAACAGACTTTGATTTGACTTCCATTTTATCATATTCGTCTACTTATAGAAGCACAATCGCTTATAAAACTATTTCGGCCCTCATATATATGGAATAAACTTTGTTTTTTGGTTAGTTTTAACGGGATTCACGCATTCACGGAACCAGGTTATACCATTGTGCCATACGTCATCCCTTTGACATAAAAAATGGCGATGTTTTGTCGCTATTTTGATGCGCGCACATGTGTCACACAAAATTAAAGCGGGTAGTTAGTTAAACAATTTCAAATCAAACTGTTAACACGGTTCGAGCATTGTTAACGGGTTATTGTTGATATTTACAACGTATGAAGTACATCGAAAATTCAGAAACCAATCGTAGTTGAGCATCGTATTATGCGTCGGCTTGCAACAAAAATACCGAAAGCTTACTACAAGCCGTCTTAGTAGATATAATATGGATACATAGGTAAACTTCAGAACGTACATTAAATAGCGACGAAAGATTATCAGTCAAGCGTATTTAAAAGTAACGCGTACATATATGGTCACGGTAGCATGAATTCATCAAATCTTAAAGTTCGTCATCATATGAAAGGACACAAGCAAAAGTAGCTGTCGGCGTCACCACATAATATTGGGGTACCGTAAATTACATGAAAAATCTTTGGATGACCTGATCTTCAGTATGCATGAAAATTATAGTGGTTGTGAAAGCTGCTGCCAATGTTTAATTATGGTTTGCACACATTGGGCGTTGCTAGGGTACCAATCGCATACATTACGGGTAAACTCGTAAAGAGAAATTATGTGAAGAACTCTATGTTATATAAGGTATAGAAGTTTCAATTTCAAGGTTATATAAGTTTCGTTATGTCCACCTAATTCAGATGGCTGTCCCTATAGGCGTGCTAAAAGGTGTTCTTACAAAAACTACTTGTTGCAATGCCGTAAAGCAGATATACTTTTACTAAGACGCTAAGTTCATCGCAAAAAAAAACAGGAGTCTCTAAAAAGCCAAATTTATTATAATTTTCTTTTATAGAGAAAAGAGTACGATAGGAATACGAACAGCCTTCTAAACTGATTTCAATTTTCAGATGATTCATACCACTTCTTCAGTTGACCTCTTTCACCTGGACTTGATGAGTGGCATTTTTTAGCCATCTTGAAAATCTCGGCGTAACTCTAATCTCTTCGATAATGCACACAAAGTTCACCTGTGTGCTTATCATTAATCTACATTCCAGAAACAAAGATATACCCAGTCGGCACAGACGGGCATTTCTTTCGGGGTTAAATTAATTTCTGTACATATACTTATTGCTTTACGTCTGTATAGCGAAAAAGAGTATTCTTTTACGCAGGAACAGAGAAGTAGGATCCTCTGTTTCAATATGATATATGTAATATATCATATGAAACAGTATGGGCTTGAATCGCGCCAGCGACATTAACTGCCTCCGCTGGCATATAATCTCTCGGCAGCATCGAACTCTAACAACTATCATTCTACCGTAGCTGTAGGTTTGAGGTAATTTTAGTGTATTGCAACGATTAGTTGGGCGCTCTTACATTTTTTACATGACTGAATTATAAATACTAGCACATGTAAGTGGGACAGTTGTAGCTCGTTTATTTGTAACACTCTTACGTTACAGTAAAGCAGTATGTTATTGTTGTTCGGATCGCCATGAAGCTACTATGAAATAACCGAATGAAGAATTGATGTGAAACAGGACTCGTAACGTCTCTCTCTATTAAACGGCAGTTACAAATAAATCTGTTTAGCCACGTGCATACAACTTGTGTGAAAACATATCAGTACTTTTGTTCAATATAGCCTCACTTTAGACAAAATATACATCATAGACAATCAAGCGCGTTTACTAAAGTCATATTCATTAATACGTAAAACAGTTATCACCATTTAGATAGCAGCCATTCATTTGATAAATGAATGCATAAAAACGCGTCAGTAGAAACCAGGAGGGAACACAATACCTAAGAAATTAGGAAAATGTTTCCTTGTTTGGCGAGCAATGGCAATGTCGCATACAGAATCTCCTTTTAACGATGAATCGAGCCTACTTGTCCTATATATATTAATATGTGCAGGTAGATATGACCAATTATATAGTTCGAGTGATTCAGCTTGGACATCGAGTTATTGTGTAGTTATAACCTAAACTGTAGCATTCCCTCAGAAAGAAAATATCTGTGTTGAATAGCACAATATTGAAGATTTTTGCAAATTTTCTTTTCTGCACTTCTAGAATTATAAAGCAAGCTATTAATTGTTTAAGGCCAGCATGTTGTCCCAGTGCAATTTCGGATGGAGAGGCCATCCATTCGAAAATAGGATCACCCTGTGAAAAAAATATGCAAAGAGCAGAATAATACGTTCTCAAAATCAGATAGCTTGCTCGGATGTGTTCGTCAGTATATGTCGTAATGAAATGCAGAACAGTAACAGTATTCAGAATTCCGACAGACAACATGCTTATATTGGTTAAAAAGAGGTGTATAAGTGCGACATCCGCAACAAAAACAAAAGCATGGTGCCACAATGTCTTTCAGCTAATGTTGCCTCTTTGCAGAATAATGTACTACCGAAATTTATGTGTAAATATATATTTAAGATTTATTTAAGGTCCTCAATATATGACAAAAAGGCCAATAGTCTGCGAACTGTCGAATGAAAAAGGTGTTGTGGAAACACGAGTTCATTAGCTTTCAAATTAGTTATCGCAAAAATATGGATTTTATTCAATCGGGAAAAAAAGTGCAACAATAATGAAAATTAATACATTAGTTATTATTAATTCACTCCATTCATACATTAGTTATTTCTACAAAATTGATACATTAATACAAAATTAATACATACGAGTGGCATGTTAAAAAATTATATTATTATAACTATATGATGAAATAAGGAATCTGCCAGACTAAATAAGAATGAAGTCATATATTCTGATACAGGTACAGCATAGGATAATAAAACAATTGTCAATCTCAGACAAGAAAGAAAATGCAAGAAGTACTCTCGACGACTTGTTATCATTTTTCATTGATGACATATTTCAATAGTTACATTTATTTAATGTTTTACATTTCTTTACATGATCTTCTTCTATTATTACACCTCGATTAGTTAATGAAATTAGTATTCTTTGTATCGTAGTTGTAATGTATAGTACGTTTCATAAATGTTTGACATTTTTACATAGAAGCATCCTCCAACTTTTGCTTGTCCATGTACCATCTTTATACGGTCTTATCCTTGACACTTTTGTTCTTCAGTTTCTTCTTCGTATTTCACATCTGCTCATATAATTTTATGATCTTCCACTATCTACATGTGGTGAAGCATAACTTTTAGCATCAAATAAATAATAGAGAAGTCCCTAACATGCTTGATCGTCCCTTTGAGTAATTGGCATTGTTGTTTTGATTCAACTTTACCCCTGTCCAACTCAACTTCAGCCTGTGCCGATTTCAAATTATCTGTGGTACTCTATGCAGGCGCCATGTTCCTATTAATAATATTGCGTAGAAAAGCTGCTGCTTATCCATGGTGCCCATGATGGATCTTCCATACAAGTTATATAAGGTATAGAAAATTGCACATGACATTTCTTTATTAAATGTGCCTAATGTCCACTGCGCTTTTTTGCACGTTATATACAAGTTACCCTGAAATTCCATTGTCAAAATCGTTAAGGGGCATATTTGGATAATGGCGCCAGGTTTCGTTCGGGGAGGTCCGCCTCTGCTAAGAAAGGCATAGTCAAAAACGACCGAGAATAGCAGGGCACTATTTCTGCGGAAGAAAAGTAAATGAGAAGATTGCTAAATTTATATTACCATTTGCATTCACGAGTAGGACGTACGTATAACATTTCGCGCTTCTATTAAAATCAGAATTGTATCAGGTCAATCATCGTAATTTGTGTACACTTATGATAAGCAAGTAACGTTTTTCGAAGGGCAGGTTCTGTTCATCAGTTCAAATATTAAAATATAAAGAGTGGCAAATGTCGGTGCATGCTCTTCAATCTATGCATCACGTGACAAACATTTGGCCAACAATTATGTTAGCAAGCTAGACGATTTAGCTAGCAGATCACTTTCTTCTCCTAAAACAAAAATTGCACAAATTCCTCGGGGTTCGATCTGGGTAACACAAAGCTTCTGTACCCCTAAGTAGCACTGAACGTCGTCATGTGGTGTGTTTCTGTTCTTAATTGGCACATTTGGGTCGCTACTCCATTGATCGTACATTTAATTTTTTTACGTTTCGCGACTGGATTTTTTAAACTTCCGAACTCCTGCAAAAAAACCTGCAAAAATTGACTTAGCATTAATTCTGCCCATTCTTTTGCAGACTCCTCTGTTTCAGTGTGCCCGATGTATATGCATCCTTCAGTACTGTATCCCTTCCATCATGTTTTAATCCACCTAACATAGTGCCCTGAACAAAATATCTATAAGCTAACACGGCTATCGTCGTATGTATATTTGTACATCCTATATACACGAAGAGTGACTCGCATTCACCTATATGATACTGCGGTTCGTTTACGGAAGCCGTAAAGGCAAACCTTGAAGCATGTTAAGCTGGCTAATCGACGCTATAGTGGAAGTACCACCCCTGCGTTGATTTTAGGCAGTATAACCAATTCGTATGTATTCGTACCAGCATGTTCGTCTCAATAACACGTCGTTTCAAAGGAAAATGTTCAAGTTTGTAAGCTAGAAATCAAGTTTGTGACTATTAGCGTAACGTTATTTCTAAGAGGGCGCCAACTAAAAGACACTTTTGAATTGGCTACGGCAACAGTACAACGTAAGCTGCCATGTTGGCCATTTTCGAAAAATTTGAGGTCCATCAAATCAAAATGTTTATGAGTGTTAGCTTATCTGCTGTGCATGTGTGCGTATTAAGTAAATATAATCGACTTGAAATAAGTAAAGATTTGCGTTTGTGCGATCTAATCTGTTTGTGGTCGACTCTGACCTATAGGTTGCTAAAAAAAATTGAACCCTCCTTGTAGATGACTCCAAGAAGTTTGGTGTCCTCGTCGTACAAATACCGACTCAGTACCTTAAAGATTTTGAAATTCTAATCTTTTATCACATAGATCTTAGTTCACTGGGACGACAAATAGCGTATTTCTCTAAGACTTTTCCTGAATATTAGGTTCAAGTGAATGCTTTTGAAATAGCTAAAGTAGGTAGTAATTGATACCGGACTGATTTTCATCGATTTCAAATATGTTTTTTATTCTGACTTTATCATTACGACCTTTTCAGCTTTACTTATTAATAGCTAGCTTATGGCCATTCTTGGTCGTATTACCCACCGTCTTCGGGTCGTTTAATCCAAACATCGTTCAAATAATCTATTGTTATTGAAGTAGATCCTGTAAAATGCCACTTTCTCCATAAAATTCCTAGGAAAATGGTACAACTTCTTCGTACTCAAGCGCATAGCTAAAAGGATAGATCAACATCAAACCTGATTGGGCCTTCTAAAAGAATATCACTTGTACCAAAAAAACCTAAAGTATTTCGACAGCTGTCCTCGCAAAAAATTTTTTCTGCAACAACAGTAAATTG